CCGTGGAGATGGCGCGGAAGGCCTTTACCCCGCAGTTGATAGAAACTGGCTGTTGATATATAACTATGATGATTATTGTTAAGCCTCGCTGAGTGGCATGCCTCGTCGCCAGGAGGGGTCCTGTCAAGTTTTCGCAACTAGGGGGCGACCGTGCTCTGCATATTCCAACTGAGTTATAACGATGTTAGTGGAATTCTTATAATTAGTTTTGAGTGTTTTTCAAATATTCTGAGTTGTGCTACTGTGACGAAGAATAAATTAGGAACTCTTGCAGAGGAGAGGAGTGCGTCTCTCCCGTGTTAGAGAACGGTCCGTGGAGACAGACATCACTGAGCTACTCCCGAGATTCCTGCGATTGTCCTATTATCCTCGCTAGAGGGCAGCGCATTCCCACCCATCATGTTACAGAGAATTATTCTTCGTATGACAGCAAGCCAATACTTTTGCTTCCCATAGTCATGGTGACTGGGCTAAAGGTCAAACAATTACACTTGAGACCTGGTTTAAAATAAATCAGCCTATGTATGTCTCTGGGTGTCTATGCCAGCCATTGGTGACTGGTCTAAGACCATCAGCTCATTTACACGTGACAACCCGGTTTAATCACACACATAACAGAGCAGTGGCGCAGTGGTTAGTACACTGCACTCGGAACCTTTCGACCATGAGAAGTTCGATTCCCGGCCACGGCTAACATCAGCGACGAGTGATATCCGAAACGGTACTTTGTGTCCTACCTGCACGGACCCGCGTGGTGAAGTATGGTCAAACAAGTCCCCATGATCGACTCGACATGGGAGAGGCAGTGTGGATCAGCGAAGGGCTGTGCATTGTCACCAAGTAGCATTGACCAGCTTGGTGAAGTATGGTCAAACAAGGTCCCATCATCTACTCCACGTGGGAGAGGCAGTGGATAAGCATGAAGCTGTGAATGGTTGAAATATGTCGTGGCCGAAGTGAGAGCTTCCGCAGATTTCTAGCACTCCGCACCGAACACACCTGAATCTGAATGTTGTATTTATTTATTTTACGTTCTGCAGCCAATAAAGTTAACGCCGGTTTTACGGCCTTCAGCAACCTACCATGTGTTTCAAAACTACACCAAGTAAACGTCGATGCGGGATTGTTTTACAGATGGCCTAGTTCCTGTCATAACAATACGTAATTTCCAAACAGTGTTAATGCAAACTGCCTATCGTTGGTCTGAGCATTTAGAAACCTTATCGTTGTGTTTGTGTACATGCCATCTTCAGAAGTATGTTGGGTGGAGTGGTGGCACAGTGGTTAGGGCATCGCGCTACTGGATCCGGTAACCTGAGTTCAATTCCCGGCGCACGGCTAACATCAGTGGCGAGTTGACATCTGAACCGGTCCTGTGAGGGTCTCTCAAATCAGCAACACGCACTGAGCAGAGTGGTGAAGTATGGTCAAAAAATTCTAGCTTTCGTGACTGCAAGGATTCATATTTTTGGGTTTTTTCGGTGAAGTCACGTAGGTAAAAAAATTAAAATTAATAAAAGTTAAATAGAAATAAACTAAAAATCACGACGTTTCGGAGGCAACACTAGCCTCCGTCTTCAGGTGGAACCATCACAGCACGCTCGCTGTATCAAGTATTGCCTCCGAAACGTCGTGATTTTTATTTTATTTTTTATAAATTTTTATTTTATTTTTTTACCTACGTGACTTTACCGAAAAAACCCAAGAATATGGTCAAACAACCCACCACGGCCTACACGGGGCGGCGGAGGCCGTCATCCAACAGCGGATTTACAAAAGTACCGAGCCTATACACATGCTTATTTGTTGAAACAAGAGAAAAACGGAAGCAAACCCAGATGCTCTTGAACTCTGTACTCTGCGCAGCAGCTGCAAACGTTGCTGGGGCTGTCGAGGGCAGTCGATGGGGAAGCCGTAATGTGGTCTCGTGAATTGAGGCACGCACTTGAGTCATATCGTGGGCGAGTTTTTCATTCTTTTTTCTGAGAATCCAACTTTTAGAATTGCCTTCGCTTTGCAGTAATTCGCCGGTGAAACCCCTTCGGAAGGGGAGCTCGGTGAGTCAGGGGTGGATTTTCCAGGAGACGCCTTGTTTTTTTGGCACGGCTTCAGCAAAAGTTTTACTCAGCGTGCCAACTGCATGCACAAGTCTGCACTGCCTGGAGCGTCTACGAATGCGTTCATACAACGATAAAACACGGATTAGTTGACCTTTAAACAGAATATTTATGACATTTGGGAGGATTCCGATGCGATGTAAAGCTCTTTAACACAGATCAGAATGTTGCAACAACAAACAATAAAACAAACGACAGGAGTGCAAAGTATAGGAAAGGTAAGAAAATAAAAAAAATTGCAAATTAAACTAAACTATTTTACTGCACCACTGAGCCATTAGCTTCTTATTCAGAAGCGACATGGCCACAGATGATAGCTCAACGAAGTTGCATATCAATTGATAGACAGCCAAATCATCGAATTAATCCAAACGCGTGTTTTTAAATGTGAAGGGAAAAACTGAAAAGTGTTGAAAGCCAGTAGGGAAGATACTGAGCCCTTAATATATACGCCACGGTGCACACCTTCCATATAACAAAAGCGGCCACTGCATCGCGCGCTTTCAGATGCACTGCTCCGGCCGTCTGGAACACTCCTTCCGATATTAGAAATCCACTTTTAAACCCAGATTGAAAACTAATTTCTTCAGAACTGCATGCTATGTTTAGTTAATTATCCTTTCCCTGCACCTCCGATTAGCACGGTTGTCTGCGTACGGTGCGAAAGAAGTTCAACGTACAGCACTTGCATCTTGTGAGAGGGATGCATGCTTGGAGCGAATGCGTGAATGAAAGTGAAGAGACAAAAAGAGGATTACGTGGATTACAGAATGTACGGACATGAATGACATTATTGAAACTAAATTTTGATTTAAAGCTTTCGTGACTGTAGGGATTCGTATGCTTGGTTCTTTCGGTAAAGTCACGTAGAAGGGAAATAATAAAATAATACAAATATTAAACAATTAAATTATCACGATGTTTAGACCGCAACACAAGCAATCATCATCAGGGGTGAAATCCACAGCAAGAACATTTGAAGAAAAAAAATCATTGCTGTGAATTTCACACCTGATGATGATTGCTTGTGTTGCAGTCGAAACGTCGTGAGAATTTTATTGTTTTATATTTTTATTATTGTATTATTTCCCTTCTACGTGACTTTACCGAAAGAACCAAGAATATTATTGAAACTGTTATGAAAGGCGAGGCTTGGGCAGGACACGTCACAGCCAGACGGGACGACGGTCGATGGTCATTAAAAATGACGGAGTGGCAGCCCAGGAGCGGAACGCATCCGAAGATATGTACACAGAGGAGATGGAGCGAGGAAATCGCCACCGTGTGCAGGCTGGATTATTGTTATAACGTCGTGAGAGATGGCGACGGCTTGGGAGAGGCCTTCATCCAGCAGTGGATTGAGCGTGCCTGATGATGATGGCACACCTCGTGTTCACTGCCTGCTGTACCACGCGCATGACACACACGTGGTACGCACATGTCGTCAGCGTGGTCACGGTTTTCAGAGGTTCGCGTACAATGTGCGTGCGGCCAGATTATTCGCGTGGCATTTGCGTTCAAGCGCCATTGCCTCACCCCAAGGTCTGGTTGTGTAAAAAAAAGGAGAAGTTACCAACGAACGTCTGATGTCATGCGTGTTTTTGTAATTTAACAACCAAAACACGGAACGGATTCGGAACCCCCATGTGTTGGCCATCGTTTTACGAATCTCGATTGCTCAGAGAAGTCTCGTTCTTCTTTCGCGAGGTGTGGTTCATGTCTGGCTGCTTGACATCGCCCCGAGTTGGAAAAAAAAAATTAGTTTTCGAGGGAGGAGGGCAGGTGACGATGGCGTTTTGGCACGATTCAAGATTGTGGCCTCAGAATGAGGGACGACTCGTTGCGTTGTGATGCAATCGGCCTGACTTAAGAGAATAGCAGCGACAACAACAACAGCACTCTGAGTCATGTGAGTCGCACGCCACAGCGAGAATCAAAAGCTTATTTAGAAGAAAAAAAAGTCTTGGCAAGTAGACATCTGTGTTTGTCAAGAGACTGGAACTCCACCACCACCTCCAATCTCCACATACAAAGATCCCCCGTGTAGCCGTAACAGACTTTTGGGGCAAGTGCTGTGAGCGAGTAGCACCTATGAAGGCCGGCACCACGCTCGGCCGCCTTTGTCTCCCTCGTGGCGATGTTCACACATCGCTTCTGGTTGAGTCCACCTAAGGGAGGCCCAAGACCGGTTCGAATATTCGCCACAAGCCCGCACAGAGAGGTTCACAAAACCAGCTCGTTGTCCTTCCTCGTGGGGTTTGGAGAGTCACGAATCTCGATGTGATCCATCAACCCTCGCTCGCGTCCGAGGCGCTCGTTGCAGTGGCAACGTGAGGTGGCCAGGAGACGGCTGACACTCCATCTCCAATCTCTACACAACAACAACAACAAACAACCGCCATTGGCCACTAAGTGGCGGCGATGTCGTCACCTCGGATCTCGTGCCCCAGGCTATGTGCACTTTAAGGCCACGTGAAGTGTCGGCAAGCTGAAGTCTTCGGGACGTTTGCATTGGGTCTTTCGGTAAAGCCACGTAGATAGAAAATATAATGAAAATATCACGACGTTTCGATCGCAACACAAGCAATCGTCATCACCGTGGCTTTACCGAAAGACCCACTGAATATGAATTCCTGCAGTCACGAAAGCTCTGAGTCAAGATTTCGTTACGTTGTTTAGTGGTAAGTAAGTGTAAGGGGTCACCGGCCCCCTCGCACCCGTCCAGAGCCCCCCATTGGCCGCTGTGGTGGCTACGCAATGACAAACAAACACATCGTTGCTAACACAATTACGTGTGCGTGAACTACGGTAATTTTGCTATACTGCCAAATACGTCCGGAGAATGGATTGTAATAATAAGAATTCGCGTGTGCGCGTGAGCAGGGAGGCGGCTCGACTCACCGAGTTCCTGCAGGCCACGGCGGAGCGCGAGGGCCAGGCCAAGGTGGAGCTGCAGCGATTCATCGAGGGGCTGCTCGACCGAGCCGAGAGGGCCGAGGGTCGACTCCTGGCTCTGGGCGCCACCGCCGCCACCACCACCGCCGGACTCAACCCCGCGCCATCCAGCGCCGATGCCAGGCCCGCAGCGGTGGCCCAGACCGGTGGGCCAGAGACAGCGACTTCTGGCTCTGAGCAGCAGGTACTACTGAACCCTTGATATAGGAAGTCACGTTACACACACAGACCGTGACTTGTCCTGAACCGTAGACACCGGGACTTCCATGTGACGTGGCACTTGCTTTGTAAATGTCAGAATCGATTAATTGTAAATCGCCTAATTTTGCGAATTATAAAAATGCATTTATGGCAGTGATTGATTTAAAAGACAAAAAAACGATACATCTGTTTCTATCTTCGTCATGATCAATCCACTGCAGGATGCATGAAGGTCTTGCCAAGCCGTCACCATCTCTCGTGGTCATGCGATGTAGCCATCTAACACAGCCACCTGCACATGAGCTGGTTGAGAACAATAATAAACTTGGCAACAATTTTCGTGGTAACGTTACGCTCAAGCACTTTGTTAGTCCGTGTGGTAGACTCACGCTATCGGTAAAGCCCCTGCGCGAGACGCGCCAATCCACCATGTCAGAATCAGAATCTTTATTTATCCTGAAGAAATCCGATGAGCTATGAAGCTCTTTTTCACAGATGTCCAGCGGCAACCTTGTGCACCATATGCTCTGCTAGTGGCAGCCTTGTGCTCCTTTTGCTTTTGGAAACATTTCTAAACGGATTGAATAAATATTTCTACTTCTTGGTTCTTTCGGTAAAGTCACGTAGAAGGGAAATAATAAAATAATAAATGAATGACACTGTCTTTCCGACAGACCTGTTCTTCAACTGAGGACGTCTGTTTGCGTTGTGGCCGAAACGTCGTGAGAATTATTTTATTATGTTTTATTTTTATTATTTTATTATTTCCCTTCTACGTGACTTTACCGAAAGAACCAAGAAGATGAATCCCTGCAGTCACGAAAGTTTTAAATCGAAATATTTCTACGTATTGAAAATTTCGTTTCATATTCATGATGGCAATTTCAGCTCTGTCCCTCCCCCCAAAACAATTATTTCAGCCCCCCATAGAATATTCTCACCGTCAGATTTTGTATGTGAGTGAGCGACTCTGACACTTGGGCCCACTACCACCACCGTGGGCCACGCAGGCCCGCGCTCGCCTGAACAGTGGCGAGGAGGAAGAGGAGACCAAGGGCAGCAGTTTCACCACCACCGGCAAGAAACGACACGACAGGGCCCGTGGACACAGGTGGGCGACGGCACATCCGCCCACACTGCTCTCCCAGTCTCTCTCCCAGTCTCTCCCCCAGTCTCTCTCCCAGTCTCTCCCCCAGTCTCTCCCCCAGTCTCTCTCCCAGTCTCTCTCCCAGTCTCTCCCCCAGTCTCTCTCCCAGTCTCTCCCCCAGTCTCTCTCCCAGTCTCTCTCCCAGTCTCTCTCCCAGTCTCTCCCCCAGTCTCTCTCCCAGTCTCTCCCCCAGTCTCTCTCCCAGTCTCTCTCCCAGTCTCTCCCCCAGTCTCTATCCCAGTCTCTCTCCCAGTCTCTCCCCCAGTCTCTCTCCCAGTCTCTCCCCCAGTCTCTCTCCCAGTCTCTCCCCCAGTCTCTCTCCCAGTCTCTCCCCCAGTCTCTCCCCCAGTCTCTCTCCCAGTCTCTCTCCCAGTCTCTCTCCACAGTCTCTCCCCCAGTCTCTCTCCCAGTCTCTCCCCACAGTCTCTCCCCATAGTCTCTCTCCCAGTCTCTCCCCCAGTCTCTCCCAGTCTGTCCCCCAGTCTCTCTCCCAGTCTCTCCCGCAGTCTCTCCCCCCAGTCTCTCCCCCAGTCTCTCCCCCAGTCTCTCTCCCAGTCTCTCCCCCAGTCTCTCCCCCAGTCTCTCCCCCAGTCTCTCTCCCAGTCTCTCTCCCAGTCTCTCCCCCAGTCTCTCCCCCAGTCTCTCCCCCAGTCTCTCTCCCAGTCTCTCCCCCAGTCTCTCCCCCAGTCTCTCCCCAGTCTCTCCCCCAGTCTCTCTCCCAGTCTCTCTCCCCCAGTCTCTCCCCCAGTCTCTCCCAGTCTCTCTCCCAGTCTCTCCCCCAGTCTCTCCCAGTCTCTCCCAGTCTCTCCCAGTCTCTCTCCCAGTCTCTCCCAGTCTCTCCCCCAGTCTCCCCAGTCCTCTCCCCCAGTCTCTCCCCCAGTCTCTCTCCCAGTCTCTCTCCCCAGTCTCTTCCCCCAGTCTCTCCCCCAAGTCTCTCTCCCAGTCACTCCCCCAGTCTCTCTCCCAGTCTCTCCCCAGTCTCTCTCCCAGTCTCTCCCCCAGTCTCTCCTCCCAGTCTCTCCCCCAGTCTCTCCTCCCAGTCGTCTCTCCCAGTCTCTCCCCCAGTCTCTCCCAGTCTCTCCCCCAGTCTCTCCCCCAGTCTCTCTCCCAGTCTCTCTCCCCAGTCTCTCCCCCAGTCTCTCCCCCAGTCTCTCCCCAGTCTCTCCCCCAGTCTCTCCCCCAGTCTCTCTCCCAGTCTCTCCCCCAGTCTCTCTCCCAGTCTCTCCCAGTCTCTCCCAGTCTCTCCCAGTCTCTCTCCCAGTCTCTCCCCCAGTCTCTCTCCCAGTCTCTCCCCCAGTCTCTCCCAGTCTCTCCACCAGTCTCTCTCCCAGTCTCTCCCCACAGTCTCTCCCCCAGTCTCTCCCCACAGTCTCTCCCCCAGTCTCTCTCCCAGTCTCTCCCCCAGTCTCTCCCCCAGTCTCTCTCCCAGTCTCTCCCGCAGTCTCTCCCCCAGTCTCTCCCCCAGTCTCTCCCCCAGTCTCTCTCCCAGTCTCTCCCCACAGTCTCTCCCCCAGTTTCTCTCCCAGTCTCTCCCCCAGTCTCTCTCCCAGGAGCAATCCAAATCACACGCACATTCGCACATCCTCACCTATGATTAGCACAGTTGGCTATGCGCGGTGCGAAAGAAGTTCGACACACATACAGACGTGTAAAGGTAAGGGGCCATCCATTTAGTGCGTATGCATGGAGGGGGGAGGGGGTGTTAACCCAAATGCGTACGCTTGCGTATGGGGGGTTCTACTGACAATGTACGCATAGGAAACGGGGGGGGGGGGGGGTGAAGCCTCGATAATAATTTGTCTACATTGGCCTTCAAGTGAGCCACAGTTGAGTTTCTCCAGCTGTCAGACAACGAGTACTACCTGGAGAAGTGGGACTGGGAGAGGCGTCACTCGTGTGCCACCGTGCCCCTGACTGCAGCTGTCACGCAGCTCAGCGACATCAGTGGCCAAGGTACACAACTTAATTATTTAATGCAGCCGGCGGTGGACTATCTGTTTGCTTAAATACGTTAACATTATTAATAATCCTTGATCCTTGATCGTTTCTGCGTGGATTAAATATCGGCCGTTCTATAGGATTCGGGGGGGGGGGGTGCGTCAAGCGTACGCACGCAGGTGGGGGGTGTAAAAATAGGGAGTGGGTGAGGGGTCAAGTTTTGACAGATTTTGGCGTACCTACTCAATGGATGGCCCCTCAAAGGATCAGTCCTGCAATGCCTTGCTCACGCCACGACTAGATGGTGAGCGCTAGAGAGCTCCGCTGTTTTGCCAGGTGTGGACCGGACAATATCCGGCCGAGTGGTTCATGAGGTTCATAATGGCCGTGTCGGTGAGGCTGAGCGAGCACGGCTCTGTTTATGAATTCAAATCCTTGGATGTCTTTCTAGCATCATCATCATCATTAGCCATTATTTATCCACTGCTGCTTGAAGACTAGCCCCATGCCCTCGGTTGAAATACAGATTTAAGGCCAAGTCTGGACTGAAACCAGCATCTGGGTTGTCGTGAGTCTGACGATTCCACTTGAGGATACATTCCCAAGAGATCCAACCGAGGTTTTATGCATCAAGATTTGGGCCACAGCGCTTATTTTACGGAAGCAGGACATCAGCACATTTACAGAGAGGGCATATATACGCCGTAAATCGTCGTGATTTTATTACGCTACACTACACTTCGCGGGCGTGGTGGTGGTGGTGGTGGTGAAAAACAAACCCGACACTGGGGGATGGCTTGGCAAGAAAAGCAGAGTGTGGGTGCGGCGAATCGTTTATCGTAAACCGTCGATTTGCATGCAGAGGAGAGAGTGCACCGTGGCGTTGCGCAATCCTCCATCGCTCGTGGGAACGACATTGGCACAGAAGTGGCGTGCGTGGTGATGATGCCACGAATGTGAGTTGCACAGGCGACCACAATTCCGGGGCTTCACTTAGCATGCTTCTGTGTTGATTTATTGATGTTTTTTATTTCAGATTCTTAGTCTTGAGTGTAAAAAGTTAAACATCTAAAGTGATTTCCTGCTCAAATGAATATTGCGGCTGTTTTTTTTGACAGCCCCTAATCCAGTGATGGAAATTCAGCATGCCTAGTACGACTGCACAAAGTTGTATTTATCGTATTAATTCCCAGTGGGATGATGGGCTGAGTCAAACCCCCCTCGACCCCCCTCCAAAAGTATTTGAACTTATAACCTTCCACTTGCGAGCCTCTCGTTCTGCCGTGCGGTCACCACCTGGCTGGCTTTGGCCTCGTCGATGACAACTTCCAGAATTCTGGTCGAGTCCGAGTCTGTGTATCTCACGGTGTCGTCGTTCTCTTCTTCGTCCGCTCTACGGTGGCGAGATGTTTACTACCTCGCCTGGTATGCAGAAGGTCATGTGCTCCATTGCGGCCCTGATGCGTGTTGTATATGTGTCTCTCTCCCCGTGGTCGCGTGGACTTTTCTCCGGGTCCTCCACGTTTAGAAACATGCATTTAGAGTATTTGGCTGCAATAAATTTCCACATGATAAGCCACTTCTCAAAAAGAGCTATGTAGCGCAGTGGGCCTTACCTGCTAAAATAAAATGTTAGTGAGAATGCAGTCGACAATTTAGTCAAACACTCTCAGTCGATAATACGGCACGGTATAGTAAACCACTAGTCTGCGCTCTGTCAACGGACGAATAGCAAAACTGCACAAACCGCCTTATGAAGCCCTCCCGTGGCTATCAGTCTTCCACATTGGCATTCAGCTCTCGAACATATTGCTGTGCGTGGGAATAGAACAGTTGTCAAATATTAGTGTGAGGGTTGTGTAATTCCTCCCCCTCCCCCCCTGCCAATAACTATCACCAGGCCAGCCACTCGACGAACTCGGTTTCGCCGTGTGTTTTGTGGCTTAGTTGCCGCCGTCGTCGTCGTCGTCATCACAATCGATGATATTCTTCCGCTCGTGGTCTTTACTCCAGCAGCGGCCCCTCCGCCAGTGCACATCACTCTCAGCGGCTGTCAAATAAATGACGCAAGAACGACTTCTCGGAAAGGTTTGAATTTGTAGCCTCGCACTTTGTCCCCATGCTCTGCCAGATTTCACTCCCCACCCCAACTCTGGCCTCCGCCCCTCAACTCCCCCCCCCCCCTCTCACCCCTCCTGACACAGCCAACCCCACCGTGACTGTGAGAAGCTTGGCGCTGCCTCTCTTAGGTCTAACTAACTACCTCGCGGGTTGGGAGCGGGAGTGCGATAAGCATCGTGGCGTGGCGCTACGCGACGCCGGGAGCGCGAAGGATGGGGGGATATTTTGAGCTCAATAACGAGACACCAAGGTGTGCGACCCGCGTTTGATTCCCCGGTGAAGGTTAATGTTGGTGGCGAGGGATATCTGAAAATTGGTGCTGGGTAACCCCTCCTTCTGCCAACGCGCACTGTGATCGGCGTGGTGAAGTGTGGTCAAACCACCACCAACACAACAAGACACGGGGGAGGACTTCATCATTGTTCAGATCAAAACTGAACCTTACGATGAAAACAAATGATTTGGTGATGCTACTGCTGCATTGGTAGGAGTGCACAAGCACAAATAACTGAAAACATTTGTCAGTAACACTCTGGACTTCAAAGGAAACATATATAATTGCCAACGGTTTGGGCAATGGTCCTCCTTCATAGCACATGGATCCAATCTAACCCTCTGGCCCCTCTATCCATGTGCTATGGCATTTGTCCGAGAATCACCTGTTACCTATTTTTTCCTTTAAAGGCTACAACAGTGTTTTTGACGAATGTGTGAGGTTTATTGATAATCAAAAGCCACTTCACATTGTGGCCTCAAGAAGAATCTTTGCTATCAGTACATGTGGAACTGAGACCAAAACGATTGCGGAACAACGTGGAGAGGTGAATGTGTAGAAATACATTTATACAGAGGACCTCGACGACGCTGATGGCGTATACATCCGTTTTCGTCTCGACGGGAGCGTGTTCAACCTGAGGCGTTTGCAGGCCCACACAAAGACCATGGAGCAACTGATTAGGGAGCTGCTTTTTGCTGACGATGCCGCCCTCCTTGCTCATACAGAGGCAGCTATGCAGCGAATTACGTCCTGTTTCGCGAAAACAGCTCAGATCTTCGGCCTTGAAGTCAGCCTGAGGAAGACTGAAGTTCTTCATCAGTCCGCACCCCATGAGGAGCACCATCCACCAAGCATCTTCATTGAACAAACAGAACTGAAAGCTGTCCACCAGTTCAGCTACTTGGGGTGCGTCATCTCGTCTGACGCCAAGATCGACAACGAAGTCGACAACAGGCTGGCCAAGGCAAACAGTGCATTTGGCAGACTATACAAACGTGTCTGGAACAACAGAAACCTTAAAAGAGCCACAAAGGTCAACGTCTACAAAGCTGTTGTGCTGACCACTCTCCTGTATGGCGCTGAGTCATGGGTCACGTACCGTCGTCACCTGAGTCTCCTCGAGCGTTTCCATCAGCGCTGCCTCCGCACAATCTTCAATATTCACTGGAGTGACTTCGTCGCCAACACTGAAGTCCTCAAGTCAGCGAAGGTCATCAGCATCGAGGCCATGGTCCTCAAGACACAGCTTCGTTGGGCAGGGCACATCGCCAGGATGGAGAACCACCGCTTGCCTAAGATTGTGCTGTATGGGGAACTGTCCTCTGGCCATCGCGACATAGGGGCACCACGAAAGCGATACAAAGACTCCCTGAAGAAGTCCCTCACTGCTTGCTGCATCGATCACCGTCAGTGGGCAACACAAGCAGCTGATCGCAACTCCTGGCGGCACACAGTCCACCAGACCACCTCCTTCTTCGAAGATACCCGCAGGGCCCGTATGGAGGACAAAAGGAGAAGGAGGAAGAACCATGATCCCTCAGCACCCATCCCAGATGAGACCTTCACTTGCAGCTGTTGTGGCAGGACCTGCCTGTCCCGCATAGGCCTCTTCAGCCACCAGCGTGCCTGCAGAAGACGTGGATGTCCTTCCTAGATCTTCGTTCGCGAAGCCAAGCCATGATGATGACATTTATAGAAATGCAAAAAAAAAAAAGGAACACGTAGATTGGAAAACATTCGCACGTTACAGGCATCGTGTAGAAACCTCAGGAAAAGTGGGTTTGGCTCAGGACACGCAGCCAGAAGAGATGATGGCCGGTGGTCGAGACGAACAAAGGAGGGGCAGTCAAAGGAGGGAATGCACCCAAGAGGACGTCATCCGGGGAGACGGAGCTCTGTGAGATTGGCTGGTGCTGTGCCGGGTGGATTGTGGCGTTGCGAAACCGCGAGGGGGTGGTGATGGCTCGGATAGATCTTCATTCAGCAGTCATGGCTCATGCCGCTGCTGCTGATGATGATGATGACAATGACGACTACATGGTGATAGCTCTCTCGCTCACTCGGGGAATGGAATGTTTTGACCGATGGAGGGCTCGCTTCTTACGAAGCCATTTGCGATGTCGGGAAATCTCCACCTCGAGGACGCGCATGCCAGCGATTGCCACCGCGTGGCGCTGAAATCGCGACGCGGTCATGACAGGCAATGAGTTCACCACTCCCGCCTCGCCACCCGACCTCGAGTGCCGCTCAGACTTGTTTACATCCTAGTCGTGGGCACGTCGATAATTTGTGCAAATAACATTCAGGTTGTGTGTTTTGAAAATAGATATGTTAATTGACTAATCGAATGAATAATGTATGTACGTTAATCGATTATGTCTTGCTAATCGAACGCCTTGCATCGCATCTCAAGCATTCGAATGGCACCCCAGCCCCAGTAGCAGCTGTCCCTGTGTGGTACAAGGTGACTAGATTCCATGTGGTCTGCAAGTTGGCTTTAGTCTGCCAGGAGGAGGGGGGTGTGATAAGTTCACTCTGTAACACGATTTTTGTTCATGGGTAGTAAGTGTTATTTTCTAATTGCTTATGCCTCAAAAGTATAGAAAATGGCTCTTATACCACACAAACTTTGCTTTTACGCACTTTACGGGGTCTCATGGAGAGACTTTCCTCCCCGATAGGAATGTGCGATTTCCACCACTGGCTCTGCAACAGGGCTGTAAAATCAGGAGATGGGGAGCGATGCCTCCCTGCACGTTCGAGCAGGAAACCATCGCGACGTGACCAAAGCCTCACGCCACCCCCAGCATTTCCGTATGGGCTCTACAAAAAAAACAAACCCAGGCGCTCCCTTCTCCACGAACATATTTGACACTGGATATCTATATGGGTTGCTGGGCGAATTCTTGTGGTGCAGACGTTATCTTCATCATGCAAATAGCACCCTTCCCGGAACCTCTCACTGGCCTGCCCGCCCGCCCGCCCTCCCTCCAACACCCCTCTCTCCTGCCGCTGCACTTCGCACCAAGTTTCTGTGCAAATGAATTCCTCGGTCATCGGGGAATGCATGTTGGAAGGGAAGTTGACTGCATGGCTCACGAGTGCCAAGTTCTGGTCGATGTGTGTGTGTGTGTGCTAAGTACAGTATCTGTATCGGTTGAAATGTAGTACAATTGGATTACACGTGATGTTGTCATCGCTCATAGAATATTTGTAATGGGACAGCAGTTTGAACTGCTTGGCTGAAAGGTTGAGAAAGTTTTTTCTTAAATATCCTGGCCTCTCTGCGCTGTGAAGAAGGGCCATTGCTCGAAACGTCACCTATAATATATGGTGTTAATACTGGACGTCTGAGTAAAAGAGCTTCTTCGCTCATCGGATTCCTCCAGTATGAATACATATTCTGATTCTGATGGTGTTATTGGCCATGGTGTTTTGACCAATGTGTTGTTTTGTTAACTGCCCATTCTACGTTACACAGGGGGGCAGGGATGCTGTGCATGGATTCCAGTACCAGGCTCAACACGCAGCTGTCCATGTTTTGTCAGTGGCCTTTCAAATTCCATATGAAAGAGAGAAACTTACAACGATCAAATATTCACACGACCGTTAGTGTGTTGTGTTTTTAGCATTGTAAACCTGCTCTCTGATGATACGTCTTGAATGATGGCTGATGTCTTTCTGTATCCCATAGTTGTCCCGTTTCTCACTGGACGGGGAGCACTCTGGTCAGATCGTTGACTTGTATTGAGTAGATTCAAAATTCAAGTCCTGGTCAAGGGTCGACTCAGCTCATCATCCTGGCCAGGGTCAATACATTATTGTACAACTTGGTGGGAAGTCGTCATCGGTTGTCATTTGGATAAACTTGCCCCTGCCACAGTAACGTAGAATTTTCCGGCACTGGCTCAGGGCTCCCAACGGGAGATATGTGCCGCCCCGATGAACCGAGTAACCCGAGTTCGATTCCCGGTCACGGCCGACGTCAAGTGATGTCTCAACCGGTCTTGCCCGCTCTCTCCCGCAACCTCGCCAACCCGGACTGACCAGCGTGGTGGAGTGCGGTCAAACAACCCCCATTACTGTCACAGTGCGGGGAGGCCTTCATACAACAGTGCTCTGACATTTGGCTGAAAGTCATCACGAATTATTAATATCTTCGGCTGCGAAGTGTGCCAGGGCGTGCTGGGCGGACTGGTTGCCCTGCATGTGCTGGAGGAGGAGGAGGCTGTTGCACGGCCCTGTGGCGATGTGGGCTGACGTCCACTCAAAACACAACATCGACACACGTAGATGTATTCAGTAATTAAATAGTTTTTCTCGTGCATCTCGTGCGCTAACTGTGTTAAAGTCATGTTTCAAAGTTTGCGCTAAATAAATTAATATGAAGCGGAATGATTTCTACCCCGGCGCTTGACGACGCGCAGCGTTGTTCGGCACCACATCTCGCTCCCCTCTCTCACGTTGGCTTCTCCCCCTCCTCCCCCTCCGCCACCGCCACAGCCCCCAGCCCAGCAAGGGCCCCGCGGCAGCGCAGAGCGGCGTGGACAGCGGCGGCGACGCCGACGGCAAGGCCGCCGGGGGGTCTCGGGGCAGGGCCGGGCGGGGGGGGAGCGCCCCCCCCTCGTCGCTGCGCGTGGCGCCCCCCCCGGCGGCAGCGGCGGCGACCCCGGCGTCTCGCTCGCAATCCGGCTCGCGGTGTCCCCACGCGTCCGCGGGGAGCTCGGCGGCCCTCTCCGATGGCACGGAGAGCGGAGTCTCCGAGGCGTCGGGGTCCGGCTCCGGGAGTCCCGGTGGCAGTCGCGGCGGCGGCGGCGGCGGCGGCGGTGGTGGCGGTGGTGGTGGTGGTGGTCCCCGTGATCCGCGGCAACGCTCCGAACCAGCGGGTGATCCACTGCAGCGGCCCCAATTAGCCGTTCTCGTGACGTCACCGCAGTGCTTCTGTTGTGCCACTTGAGTTCAATGTAAATCTTTAATATCCAATACAATGTAGCGTCAGCACTCAATTGCCACTGCCAGACACTTCAAAGTCTTATTTACCTTTTCTTCAAGCTCGCGTGGGGCAGCCCAGCACACACTCAGCCTGATAGGAGCGGTTTGTGTTTTATTGGGATACATCTTCCTGTAAGACGATGCGAGTCTCACCTTTGCTGTTGCACGTTGTTCACACCCATCTTAATGTTTGCTGCTGCTGCTTCTCCTACTGCCGCTACTCCTGCTGCTGCTCGCAGGAATCCAGCACTGCCCGGCGAGCATGGCCGCTGGGTTGCCGCGTGGAGCTGGCCGCTCGCGACGCGGCGAGGATGCCCTCTGCCTCGTCTTCTCCTACCTGGACGTCCGCTCCCTCCTCGTGGTATCACAGACTCACTCGCTGCTAGTGAAAATCTCATAGCTACGGTGGCTAGGAGATGCTAACTAGACACCTTACCTGGATGTCTGCTCCCTCCTCGTGGTATTAGACCCACCCGCTGCTCGGTGTCGAGTTAACATCAAGTTAACTCCCTCGCCTGGTATGCAGGAGGCGGTGGGTTCGATCCCGACCCTGGCAATTGCTGTATATTTGGAGTTTGCATGTTCTCTCTCTCTCTCCGTGGTCACGTGGATTTTTCTCCAGGTCCGCGGGTTTTCCCCTCCACATTTAGAATCAGCATCAGACGTTTAGAGTATTTGACTACTACAAATGTCACGTGATCGGTCACTTAATTGAGCTGTAGTTTATGGCCACGTCGCTTCTGAGAAAGAGCTGTATAGCTCACTGGGCCTTACCTGGTAAAATAAAACATAGTTTAGTTTTAGCTTAGTTTATAACAGACAATCCACACTCCCGAGCCACGTGAGTCATGGGGCTTGTTTGACCATCTCTCGCCACGCTGGTCTGCCCGGGGTTGGTGAAGGGATGGTCCTGGCACTCACTCGCCAGTGATGTTAGCTGCGGTCGGATATCGCACTCGGCTTCGCTTGGCACGTTGCGTTAACCGCACGGCATCGCCGCTCCCCCCTACACAACACGTGGCTCCGGAGCCAGATGCGTAGCGGTCAGCGCTACGCTACGCTACGAACACGGTGACCCAGGTTCGATTCCCGCTCACGGCCAACACCCAGTGACGATTATCTGAACCGGTCCTGAGCCTCCCCTAGGTTGACTCAGCTTCCAATCAGCACCTGGTGCGGTGTGTAATCTTCGCCACTGGGGAGACAAAGGCGGTCGGGCGTGGTGCTGGCCAACCACCCCCGCGTGTGCCGTTCCGGCCTTCATAGGTGCTCGCTAACAGCACTTGCCACAACAGTCTGTTAAGGCTATACGGGGGATCTTTGTATGTGTGTATGTATTCACATGCATTGTGGCTTTTGAAATATTGAGTTTTGTACCGAATTAAAAAGAAAATAGCTCTTTGTGCTATTTTGGTCGCCGACCCCTGTCCTTGGCGGAGTAAATGCGCCGACTAAATGAAAAGACGGCCGAGGTGTGAGATGTCGTGAAAAATGCACGCACGCGGCAGTGCTCCCCCCGGGTAGATAAATAAATGAATGACGCGGTAATTGAAATCGTCGTTCTAAACGTTGGTAGGTAACGGAGGGTCGTGCAGCAAAATCCAATGTCACGCACTCCTGTGCTCGGAACGGAATCGTTTTATTGACGTCACTTCCATTTTTCTGATCAATCCAAAACGGTACATTTTTTTCGAATCATCTGAAATGTTGTCTCTATGCCTGATTTTGGATTTTTTTTTCAAATCGTTTAATAAAAAAATCCATTATCCGGGGGGTGGGAGGGGGGAGTGGGGGATAGGCCACATCCCGGGCGTACGTGTGCACTGCAAATGTTGACGTTCAAGCGATACCGCTCACGAATCAAATCTGTGCACAACGAGAAAAAAAAACCCAGCACCGCAGAATAATCGTCGTGCAGGCCGGGGAATCCATTCGTTTCAAATGACACACGGAAGAAATGGGTAAACAGTCCGTTGTATTTACACCTGTACGTCCGATAAGCACGGTTGACTACGTACGGTGCGAAAGAAGTTCAACATACGTACTGTACGTACATACAAACGGCACGCGGCTATTGCGCCATCAGTATTTCCTGAAGAAGTGCACTGTGGCCCTGTTTTTCCAAGATCACCATCGAAATCGATTTGAGCAAATGTGACCGACAGACAGACAGCAGCAGCAGCGATATAGTCGACTGTGGACGGGGTTTCGTCCTCGCTGGGACTCGTCAGCACGGTGTAGTCGCCGCTGCTCACCGCCGCAAAGTCTGCCCTCTGGGTGCCGAGGTTTGTCTCTAGCAATGCCGCTCATGCAGAGCCTCGCCCTCGTTGCGCCAGGCGGGGGAAGTGTGCGTGGAGTGGAACGCGTTGGCGCGGACTCCCAGGCTGTGGGCCCGAGTCGTCCTGGAGAACGCGCGCGTCTCCTCCAAGGTGAGACACACACGCAGCACACGCAGCACGCAGCACGCACACGCAGCACGCAGCACGCACACGCGTCACGATGAAGGCGCCCCACGTCGCAGTCATTAGCGCTTGTTTATTTTGGTCCTGCCGCCGGTTAATTTTCCACCTGTCGCGGTTCAGGATGAATGTGAAAGAATCATACGCATACTGTGTAGGCCGTGCGGCGACGCATAATCCGACCTTCAAATGTCCACCTTGACCAATTGTCCACCCGCATCCAGTGGTGTATTTGTGCGGGTGTCACCGTCATTTCTGTATCGATGTTTACGCATCTCACCGTTTCACATATTCGCCTATTTCACAGTCCCCAGTGAGTCGGATGTGCGATATTCACACTATATATATAATGTGTGTATCTTTTGCACTCTGAGAGCTGTTACAGCCGTTTAGCGCTTAATGAATTAAAACTGATGACGACGGTGATGATGACGATGATGATGTGTGCTGCGCCGGTCTCCTGCGATGCCCCCGTATCACCGCGCCATCCCGGCCACAGTTCCTGGCGTCGCTGTCCGCACGCTGCTCGCTCTGCCGGAGCCTCGTGCTGCACAACCTCAAGCCACGGCCGCGGCGCAAGGGGGAGAGCCGCGAGGAGCACGCCGCCACCACGCGGTACTTGGGCTCCCCGCAACGGCACATCGGCACGCCGGCGCATGGGCAAGCCGGCACGCCGGAACGCCGGAACGCCGGCACACGGAGGTCTGTTCAGCTTAAAATCAGTACCTTGTTGTGGGCAGGGGCTGCCTGGAGGCTGGGCTGGAGGCGCTGATGAAGGTGGCTGGCCCCCGCCTGCTGGCGCTGAGGGTGTCCGACTGTCCCCACGTGCTCACCGAGCGCGTGCTGTGGCTCGCCGGCTGTCACAGCCGCAAGCTGCAGGCACTCACCTACAGGCGAGCTCGCACACACACTCACCTACAGGCGAGCTCGCACACGCACTCACCTACAGGCGAGCTCGCACACGCACTCACCTACAGGCACACTCGCACGTACATACACACACACTCACCTACAGGCGAGCTCGCACACACACTCACCTACAGGCACGCTCGCACGTACACACACACACACTCACCTACAGGCGAGCTCGCACACACTCTCACATACAGGCACACTCGCACGTACACACACACACTCACATACAGGCACGCTCGCACGTACACACACACACTCACGTACAGGCACGCTCGCACGTACACACACACACACACTCACCTACAGGCGAGTTCGCACACACACTCATCTACAGGCGAGCTCGCACACACACTCATCTACAGGCGAGTTCGCACACACACTCACATACAGGCACGCTCGCACGTACACACACACACACTCACCTACAGGCGAGTTCACACACACACTGACATACAGGCACGCTCGCACGTACACACACACACACTCACCTACAGGCACACTCACACGTACACACAAACACACACTCACATACAGGCACGCTCGCACGTACACACACACACACTCAACTACAGGCACACTCACACGTACACACAAACACACACTCACATACAGGCACACTCGCACGTACACACACACACACACATCTACAGGCACGCTCGCACGTACACACACACATATTCACCTACAGGCACGCTCGCACGTACACACACACAAACTTACAGGCACGCTTGTACATACACACACATCTACAGGCACACTCGTACATACACACACATCCCCAGGCACGCTCGCATGTACACACACACACTCAATCTGCCAGGCACACTCACACGTACTATACACGCAAATACACGCTCACCTACAGGTAAGCTCACACGTACGCACGTACACACTCACATACAGACACGTTCGCACGTACACACACACAAACTTACAGGCACGCTTGTACATACACACACATCTACAGGCACACTCGTACATACACACACATCCCCAGGCACGCTCGCATGTACACACACACACTCAATCTGCCAGGCACACTCACACGTACTATACACGCAAATACACGCTCACCTACAGGTAAGCTCACACGTACGCACGTACACACTCACATACAGACACGTTCGCACGTACACACACACACATTCACCTACAGGTAAGATCACGTGTACGCACGTACACACTCACATACAGACACGTTCGCGTGATGTAAGCCAGGCGGTGTGCTGGTGGAGGGCTCGCTAACTAATCGGCTGTTTGTTGATTGGCACGTTGCTAGAGGCCCACGACTCGGTCCGCGCCGTTCCCGTCATGAGATTGACCTCTCGCAGTTTTCTCACCGCGTGTACGAACAAAGCGGCCGAGGACGCGCGACGTTGCCCGGATCGTCGCCACTCGGCAGGATTAGGTCGATGCTGTTGCATTTGGCGAGGCGCTGTGAGATTCAGTGAGGCCGCTGTATGGATCGGTGAGGAGCTGTCGGTGGCGGGAGGGTGGGGGAAGGGGCGAGAAAGTGACAAGTGGCAGCCGGAACGGGAGGCCGTCCCATCCTGTTTGCGTCGACCGGGCTGCAGTCGAACGCCGGCTGTGGGTTCACATTTTGTTTTGCGATGCCCGTGGCGTTCTTTCCCCGCTAGAATTTTATCGCCATGGCTTCGACCGCAGCAGGCGTGTTGTCGTGGGGGCTCTAGGGTCCGGTGGAAACATCGGGGCCACGAATTAGTAACGGGAAGCGCCACTGCGTGGTGTCAGCGCCAAGGCATGCGTGCATCTACCCATTATTGCCCGCATGAAATCTTCTCCGAGCACATCGAATGGGGCATTCTTGTGCATGTAACCATTTTCTTGCAAAGCAACGCTGACCGCTGATGAGGCGCACCGGGTGTCCAGAGTTTCACTTGCGTTGAACCAACGCCCGTGGAACGATGCACTCCCAGAAGGCCGTGTGGCTGATGTGATGTGTAGAAAATAAAAACAACTACATTGAGGGACAAATATCGCAGGAAGGAGGCGCAATGTCTGCTGCTTTATGACGGGATTCTCAACGCTTCTCGGCAGAAGTTGGTTTGATACTTCTTACACGCACTTAGTCGTGTGGCAAGAAATGCAATGCGCTATGGTCCCGGCCAGCCTGGTTCAATAACTGACCATGGCACGCAACATCCGAGGTTGCACCTCTGCATAGTACGGTTGGCTAAGTACGGTGCGAAAGAAGTTCAAGATTTACGCGGGAAAGCTTCGCTGAGTCTCAGGACGCTCTCAGGAGGGTCCTGGATAAGCTTCGCAAATGGGGGTTGGAGGGGGAGGGGAACGCGGGGGGTTGGGGGGGGCGACGATCGCTGTGAATGTCCCAACGGAGTAATTTACGAGTAAATTATCAAAATAAATGGTGCCAAATAGTCGCAACGCGCTTATCAGTGGCCGCTTTCACAGAACACGGTAAACAATGCACGAAATAAATGAAGTTGAAAGCGCACTTCGCCTTTTCCCGGTGGATGCAGAGGAGCGGCTCCCATGGCGACGCTGCTCCGACCCCTCAGCGGCGAATGCGGATCGAGCGTTCTCTGCAAAAACATAATTCTAAGCCAGCATCATCAGGCGATTGACGCATAATGAGTGTTCTTGGTTCTTTCGGTAAAGTCACGTAGAAGGGAAATAATAAAATAATATTAAAACATAATAATATAATTTTTAAAGTGAGAAAAATTGTATTATGTTTTATTTTTATTATTTTATTATTTCCCTTCTACGTGACTTTACCGAAAGAACCAAGAAGATGAATCCCTGCAGTCACGAAAGCTTTAAATCGAAACATAATGAGTGGCGACGGGCGTAGCAGCGAGTCACTGACGCGAGGCCAGCTTGTCCGAGAGGCACGTGGGGAGGCCTCAATCCAGCAGTGGATCAATCACGGCCGCCTGCGTATTCCTACATGGAGCTACGCGTGGAGCGTTCACTTCTTGTTATGGGTGACTGGATCCACGCGTCGTCGTTCAGGCGGGAGCCGTGTCGTGATGTCCGAGTTAAACACATTTAAGGGCAGAGGTAGGCAGAAGGGCGGGGGGGTGGCAGTAGGTTTGGGTGGTGGGGGGGCTACCGGTCCTGGCCCAGGTACACGCTGTGCCGCCTTCGCCCCGAAACAAATCTGTCCGTGCCGGCTCCTGTGTCGTGGCCTGCAGCTGCGCGTGGGTCGATGTGAGCCGGGCAGATCGATGGCGGGCAGGGGATCTATTCTGGAGAGAGTGCCTCGCCTCCACGACCTGTGTGCGTGCGTCACCAACCCCACTCGTGTTTCTTTCGTCATCGGAGGGGAAGGGGCGGGGGGGGGGGATAGGAGGTTGAGGGAGGTTCGGGAGCATCTCTCATGGCCGGGAGTCAAAGGTCAATGTGTAGCAGTGGGGCTCACCCATTGGGGGCCCGGTATGCCATGAGGCAAACAGGTTGGTTGGTGCCACCTGCAGTGGCTCATGCTACTGTAGAGGTGTAATTGCGCATGGCTACGAATGTTGAGGTGTGATTATGCATGGCCACGGATGGCCAACAAACACAATGGGCGGGGTTACGGCCGTACACAAGGGTGGCGCTAGCACCGACGTCCGCATGTGTATCCCCCACGGGCCCCCCCTCGGGGGCGAGTCCTATAAAAGGTGATGAGCTCGAGGGCTCGAGGTCGGGACTCAGCTTTAACCAGAGAAGACGGAAGACCAGCTAGTGTAGGCCCCAGAGCTCCCCTGGCTCGCTGTCCTTATAAGGGCCGACCAGGGCAAGCCGGTGGCGTGGCCCCGAGAGCCCAGACGAAGCTGGTCTGGTGACTCAGGGAGCCGGGATCCCAGCTTAACCAAGCTGGGACAGATAGCCTCCCCTAGTCCCGTAGTGGAGGAATTGGTATAGGTTAGAGGGGTTAGCTGTCGAGAATCCCTGTAGCCAAGTGACCTGTACAACTGTGTTGGTGTAATAAATAAGTGTGCCTCCGATCCTGTCGTCAAGCCTCCATATATACTTACTACATCTGGTGTCAGAAGTAAACGTCCAACGATGGACACACGAGGGACGACACGTACCAGGGAGTCGGAGATGGAAGACGCCGCGGCCGAATCTCCACCAGTGATGGCCGGGGTCGAATCGGAGCAGCCGGGGCCGAGTACGCCCGCGCCGCTACGACAGGTGGAGGGGGATGCGTCGGCCGAAGGACTCCGGCTGGCCCACTCCCGCCTGGCGGACCTGCTCTACGCCGCGGCCGCCGCGTTGGAGGAGATCATGCGGCTGGGGGCTGGAGGAGCAGCGCGGGTCGACGACGGCAGCCGGCGCGGGGCGACGTTTCCCGCCACCCCGACGCGGCTCGCGGTCAAATTTCCCGCCATCTCTACAGTACGAGCGGAGGGCGGGGCCGGCCCGCGTCACGTGTCTGCTGAGCGCCAAGCACAAGCCGTGACATCATCAACGCCGGCCGGCGCGTCAACATCAGAGCGACCGGCGATGCCATGTGCACGGCCCGCCCACACTGTATCATCGGCGGGGAGCGACGGAGAGCGTTCTGCGGCCACGGACGCCGCCTTACAACAGCGTCTGCCGCCTCTTAAAGAATTTGTCGGCGCTGACGGAGACTGGGGCGGCTTCAAGAGGCGGTTCATCGCTCATCAAGAGATGGCGAACTGGTCGGACGCCGAGGCTCTACGCGCGCTGCCAGCGATGCTGGACAACGACGCCCTGGCTACCCTCACCTCGGCGCCGAGGGAAAAGCGCGCCACTCTACACCTGGCGTTGCAGCTGCTGTCAGCCGTCTATGGGCCGCCTTCGGACTGCAGGCAGCTGTTCCACGATCGGAGTCGGGGCGCCAACGAGTCACCCCTGGCCTTCCGGACGGCTCTCCTGGCTCTGGCAAAGGCTGCTTTCCCAAGGATGGACGAGGAAGGAGTGGATGCCATGGTGGCTGAGAAGCTGCTGCTACTCGCTGACGAGCTGGACGTCAACGTCTTGGCTCAGGACGACGCGGAGATGTCGTCCCTGCTGGTCGCGCGCCACATCCACGGGGGCTTGCGGTCCCTGCGTCGGAAGGCGGCAAAGGGGGCGGCCGGCCATGCCATGGCGACCACCGCCCTCCCATCAGTGGAGGTCTGCGGGGTGGAGCGGCGAGGGGAATGGAGATCGGCGGCACCGCAGGCTCGGAATGGACCGAGCCGCCAGGAGCAGCCCAGGTCATCTGGGGCGCTCACACGCTGCTACAACTGTGGCCTGCAAGGCCACGTTGCGTCTGGATGCCGGGCTCCCCGTCAGCGCGGGGCGACACCTCGTCAGGACGCCACGCCGTCTCCTCCCAAGCTCCAGCAGAGAAATACGGCGAGTCGCGGCACCTCACACGTTTGGCCCACGCACACATCCGACACACACTCACGCGCTAAACTAAACAGGGCTCCAAATTCCCCGTCCGTCGCGCGCGATTGTTCGGTAATGCGGCGAGCGCTCCAACCGGGTCAGTGGTCGGAGCTCGCCCATCGTGTCGTTGCTGCGTCGGCGGGATCATCGGTCGTGGTCGGTCACATTGATGGGGTAGAGGTGCGGATTTTAATTGACACAGGGGCATCGGCGACCATTATATCTGATTTAATTTATAACATCCTTCCCGTTCAAAGTCGTCCCTTGCTCCCTGTTGACGTGCCGTGCTATGCCGCTAACGGGGGCTCTCTGGGCATTATTGGCCAAATCCGCGCCACTATCTGCATTGGGGACATTAAATTATCCGGCCCTGTTTTGGTTTCCTCCTCACTCGCGGTTCCGTGCCTGTTGGGGACGGATTTTCTGGCCAAAATGCCCATCCGTATCCTTATTGACCAAGGGTGCATTGAGCTCCCATCGGGCCGACGCGTTACATTTCTGTCTTCCCCCACCACGGAGCGTCGGGCGTTTGCCACCGTGCAGGCGCTCGTCACAAAAACTGTGCGCGTGCCTCCGGGGGCTCAGATGCTCGTCCCTCTTAGGTTGCGTCGGCCGTTTGATGCAGGGGTTGCGGATCGGGGGGTCTTGTTGGGTCCATCTCGGGCCGGGGTCAATGGACCCGATTTGCTCGCGGCTCAGACTATGGTGAGAGGGGATGGGGACCCCTTCATTGCAGTCCTTAATGTGGGATCGCGAACGGCCGTGGTTCCTCAAGGGACCGTGCTTGCACACGCAACGCCGGTGCCCTGTGAGGAACCACTCGTGGGTCAGGTATCCACCGATCCTCCGTCGCGACCGCATTCGGACTCTGATGACGGATGGCTGGATGCGCTTTGCGCGGGTTCAGTGGACCTGTCTGACTCGCAGCGCGCGCAGCTGCGAGTTCTCCTGAGCGAATTTGCTGACGTTTTTAGTCAACACAAATTTGATATTGGTTGTACAAAATTGCTGCGACACCATATTGACACGGGTGACAGCGCGCCAATCCGCCAAAATCCCTTTCGGTTGAGTCCCGCCGAAAAGGATCATGTCAAATCGGCTGTTGATGACATGCTAGCCGCCGATATCATTTCCCCTTCCACCAGCCCGTGGGGCGCGCCGATCGTTTTGGTGAAGAAACACGACGGCTCACTGAGATTTTGTGTTGACTTTCGGCGTCTCAACAAAATCTCTGTGGCAGATGCGTACCCGCTTCCTCGGATGGATGAGTCGCTCGACGCCTTGGCCGGTGCACGATTCTTTTCCACCCTTGATTTGCTATCTGGATTCTGGCAGCTTCCTCTGGATGACGAATCGAAACCTAAGACTGCTTTTCGTACACCGCAGGGCCTCTTCCAATTTAACCGTTTGCCGATGGGTTTACATTCTGCGCCGGCAACTTTTCAGCGGTTAATGGAATTGGTCTTGGCAGGTTTGCAATGGGATTCGTGTTTGATTTACTTAGACGATGTCATCGTCTTTAGCAAATCCTTCGAGGAACACCTCCAGAGGTTGCGTGCTGTTTTTCCTCAAAATGCGGGCTGCCAATTTGAAATTTAAACCACAGAAGTGTCATTTACTCCGCGAATCGGTGCGATATTTGGGTCACATTGTTGGGCGCTCGGGGATATCCACTGATCCCGCCAAAACGGAATGCGTCAGCTCCTGGCCGACTCCCACCTCTGTGGGAGAGGTCAGGAGTTTCATTGGGTTCGCGTCGTATTATCGGCGATTTGTGGCTGACTTCGCTACGATTGCGAAACCATTGCATGCCTTGACGTCCAAGGGAGTCAGGTTTCATTGGGGGCCGGAGGAGGAGGCTGCTTTTCGCGCCCTCAGAAATGCTTTGGTGGGAGCTCCGCCGTTGAATTACCCGGATTTTTCACAACCCTTCTTGCTCGATACTGACGCAAGTAACACGGGCATCGGGGGTGTGCTGTCCCAGCTCATCGGGGGCGTAGAGCATGTGGTGGCTTACGGTAGTCGGGTACTGTCTCCAGCCGAACAGCGGTACTGCGTTACCCGTCGGGAATTATTGGCCATTGTTTATTTCATTCAGCAGTACCGCCCGTATCTGTACGGTCGGCGGTTCACCGTCCGTACAGATCATGCGGCCCTACAGTACGCCCTGCGGGTTCAACAACCATCGGGCCAGTTGTCTCGATGGTTGGAGATCCTCCAAGACTATGACTTTGTCACCACATATCGTAAGGGTGTCCGCCACACGAACGCTGACGCCCTGTCACGATTGCCACCCACTTCGGAGTGCGCGTGCCTGTTGGGTTCGGGGCGTTGTAGGCCCCCGAACGTCACCACCGATTCGGTCCTCGTGGCCGCTACCGATGCACCTTCGGCTTCGGGTCCTATCGAGCAAGAAGGGAGGGATTCGTTGCTGGGGTTGCCGGTCGCGGAATGGGGACGCCTCCAAATGGAGGACACCTCCCTCCTCGCTTTGCGCCGTCGCGTCGGGGGGGCTGGTCAGGGGGTGGAAAACGTTGACTCGTGGGGGTTGTTCCAGGGTCTTTTGATGCACTGGGATGGAAAAACCCGGCGCCAGCGGCTTGTGGTGCCTGCTGCTTTAAGGGGTAAGGTGGTATGGGCTGTTCATGAGCGGCTTCTGCACTTGGGGGTTCACAAGACCTTTGCCACGCTCCAGCTGGATTTCTTCTGGCCGGGCATGGAAAAGGACGTGGGGGATCTCTTGGGGTCATGCACGCAATGCGCGCAGAGAAAGCCGCCTGCGAGGGGGTCCAACCCTCCGCTGCAGTCCATAAAAGTTTCCCGGGTTAACGAGCTCGTCGCTCTGGACATACTTGGGCCATTTCCCGCTACGCCCAGGGGCAATAGGTATTTACTAACGGGGGTTGAATACTTCACGAGATGGCCTATGGCCTGGCCCCTGGCGAACCAGTCGGCAGCAGCCATCGCGGAGGCCTTTGTCCAGGGCTATGTCCTCGACAAAGGTGCTCCGGAACGGCTGCTTACTGACCAGGGTAGGAATTTTTCTGGTAAACTCCTACGTGAGGTGTGCGACCTCTTGGGTACGGAGAAGGTTCGGACCTCTCCGTATCACCCACAAACTGACGGGATGGTGGAACGGCTGCATCGGACCATCACGTCCATGCTGTCCCAGCAGGTGTCGGTATCCCAGACGGATTGGGACCTCCGCATAGCCGGTGTGTTGCAGGCCTACAGAATGGCTCCTCATGCGGCCACCGGATTTTCTCCTTTCTTTTTAATGTATGGGCGCGAAGTTAACCCCCCTGTGGCGACCCAGCTGAAGCTCTCGGCGCTCCCGGCGAAGTCTAATTTGTCCGAACACATTAAATTTAACATCGCTAAATTGTCTGAGGCGCGGGAAGCGGCCGTGCAAAATTCTGAACTCCGCCAGAAGGCGAACGAGAGGCTTCGGTTGGGGCGGGTGCAGGTGGTCAAATGGGAACCAGGGGACAGGGCGTGGTTGCACTGTCCTCAGGTGCCGCTGGCAACCTCGTCGAAATTGGTACGGCCGTGGCGGGGGCCAGTGGAGGTCGTGCAGGTTTTGCGGCCGCAATGTGTTCGCGTCAAATGGGGGAGGCGCCGGTGGTATGTGCACCCCTCAAGGTTAAAACCATTTGTCGCGCCGCCCCGTGGTTCACACACACACACGCATGGCCAAACGTGTGAGGGTGTCGCCGACTCCCCGTCGTCGCTGCACTCGCCTAACCTGACGCCAACTGTTCCGTCCCCAGGTGAAACAGGAGTGACGGGTCCACACCCACCAACCCCTCCCGGAGGGGTCGGGGGTCACTCGGCAGCGACGCCTGACTCTCTTGCACCCGGACCGTCAACAACCGTCACTGAGCGTGCCAGGACGGGCCCTTGTGATGGGCCCGCCGCGCGGACGCGCGCCAAAACGCGCAGACTATTGTGAGGTCGGCCGTTGGGGGGCCTTGCGGACAATGGGAGGGGTGGCGTCCGGAGTGTGTGTATATATGTTGGTTTTGGGGTATTTATTCGGGGGGGGTGCGTCGGGTTATTTTTTTTCCTCTCTCTCTCTCTCTCTCTCTTCCTGTTGTTGTTCTTGTTAAGGTTCTCTTGTTCTTGTTAAAAATTACGCGAGGCACACACACGGGGTTTTTGTGAGGGATGCACCTTTATTCTGATTTTTTTTTTTGCAGCCAGGGACGGCTGCGAGCTGTACAGGGGGGGGTGATGTAGAGGTGTAATTGCGCATGGCTACGAATGTTGAGGTGTGATTATGCATGGCCACGGATGGCCAACAAACACAATGGGCGGGGTTACGGCCGTACACAAGGGTGGCGCTAGCACCGACGTCCGCATGTGTATCCCCCACGGGCCCCCCCTCGGGGGCGAGTCCTATAAAAGGTGATGAGCTCGAGGGCTCGAGGTCGGGACTCAGCTTTAACCAGAGAAGACGGAAGACCAGCTAGTGTAGGCCCCAGAGCTCCCCTGGCTCGCTGTCCTTATAAGGGCCGACCAGGGCAAGCCGGTGGCGTGGCCCCGAGAGCCCAGACGAAGCTGGTCTGGTGACTCAGGGAGCCGGGATCCCAGCTTAACCAAGCTGGGACAGATAGCCTCCCCTAGTCCCGTAGTGGAGGAATTGGTATAGGTTAGAGGGGTTAGCTGTCGAGAATCCCTGTAGCCAAGTGACCTGTACAACTGTGTTGGTGTAATAAATAAGTGTGCCTCCGATCCTGTCGTCAAGCCTCCATATATACTTACTACACTACCACAGTGTCCCCCATGGGCAGTGTTCACCATGGGCAGTGTCCACCATGGGCAGTGTCCACCATCGGTAGTGTCCACCATCGGTAGTGTTCATCATAGGCAGTATTCACCATCGGTAGTGTCCACCATCGGTAGTGTTCACCATGGGCAGTGTCCACCATCGGTAGTGTTCACCATAGGCAGTATTCACCATCGGTAGTGTCCACCATCGGTAGTGTTCACCATGGGCAGTGTCCACCATCGGTAGTGTTCACCATAGGCAGTATTCACCATCGGTAGTGTCCACCATCGGTAGTGTTCATCATGGGCAGTGTTCACCATGGGGAGTGTTCACCATGGGCAATGTCCACCATCGGTAGTGTCCACCATCGGTAGTGTCCACCATCGGTAGTGTTCATCATGGGCAGTGTTCACCATGGGCAGTGTCCACCATCGGTAGTGTTCATCATGGGCAGTGTTCACCATAGGCAGTATTCACCATCGGTAGTGTCCACCATCGGTAGTGTTCATCATGGGCAGTGTTCACCATAGGCAGTGTTCATCATGGGCAGTGTCCACCATCGGTAGTGTCCACATTGAGTTTGGAAGACAAACGGAATGTTTACTTCCCATATTCCGTACTTGCCTCATATCACATTCTTGTTGTTTGTTGCCGAACTCTCTTCTCTACCGACATACTCTGGTGCCGTTTAAAGACATTCATGTCATACAAAGCTACCACGCAGGTTTTGCTATCGCACAGATTTGTGATCTAGAGAAGGAAATATTCAAGAGAACATTTGATAGCATTGGCCTCCTTGAATGGTACCAATTAGAAATGTTCAAATTGCCAAGGACCACTAAGAATGTTTTAAACCCCCCACCCCCAGCAATACCTTCCTAGCGAGATTACTTGGTAAAATAATAAAAAATAGCTATCACGTCACACTTGTTGTCAACATTTTGTCAACTGGGATTACTTTAAGATTCGCTTCTTCTGCCGCTATCTAAAATGCTCTTTCCTACCGATATTAAGAAGCCACTGGAGCTAGGCACTTTTAAATCATCAAGGTTGAAAGCTAATTTCTTTAGAACTGCTTTTCGCATTTAGTTTGTTGTCCTTCCCCCGCACCTCAGATTAGCACTGTTGGCTACGTACGGTGCGAAAGAAGTTCAACATACGTACAACCCCCTAATCCCGTAGAGCAGTGGATTGATAAAAGGGCTGATCCACATCCACATGGCAATGGCTTTGGGAGGATTTCATCCAGCAGTAGATTGATCATGACTGCTGCTGCTGCTGATGATGGCTTGCATTCTAGACATGAGCTATGGACATGTGCAGCCACTGCACATGCGTGATCATGTCGGGAGCCGGTCATGAGTGACTGGGCGAGTTGATGTCAACATTCATGATGTTCCACATGGGCTCGAAAGCTGAAAATTGGACACAAGATCAAGTTCAGACCACTTGGTTCTCAGTCTTGTTATTATTACACGGTTTTATTTAACTCACTCCATCTGTTGTTGTTGTCGTTGTTGTATCCTCAAATCTTGTAACTCGATTTTAACCCACTTCCCAATGTGGTATCGACTGCAAACTTGGTATACTTATGTCATACTGATGACAATACTATATTCTATCTTAAAAATAAGACGCATTTTTAAACATTCTTTTTACATGTTGTGTTTCGGCTTGGGTCTTATTGTCCACGGTAAACTGACGTTGGCTGTAAATGACCACGGTCCCTTACGTTATGTCAAGCTTCGGGGCCACTTCCTGGAGTCGTGGAGTTCTGCCATTACTAGTACGGTACATTTAATTAAAGCGTGTTTTTAAAACGTTTTTTTTTTAAATATTACTTATTTTGGCTACTGTACCCCCCTTGTTGAATCTTGTTTCAACCGAATACAGTCCCTTTCCTGACCCAACATGGTTCTGAGAAATAAATGCATGAATAATGAACATCAACAATTTAACCAATTGTCCATTCCGTGAGGTATCCTAACTAGCAAGCGAATAAAAAAAATCAACGGAAGCTCTGCATTGCGTGACGCAATCAGTTCGTGCTCGCTGGTTACTCTTGGAAACCAACACTGTTTACAATCAGTGACTTTAGAAAGGTGTTTTATATCGTTCTAAGTTACCGTATGGACTTACATTTTTATCGTCGTTATTTTATATTGGCAGATTCATACACGATTATTCACCGCACGCGACTCTCCATGATCGATATAATTTCGCACATTAAAAAGTCACCTCGCCCGCACCCACATGGGGGCCATTGCCAGGTGACCACTAGAGGGCAGTACGTCACCGCCGTGGTTTCACTTCCCATTGGCCAGGACCCACGCGGCTCGTCGCTGTGCAACTCATCGACGGCAGCCCAACAAGGCGGTTGGTTGGCGGCGATGGAGTGCGCAGGCGGTGCAACTGCCCCCACAAAGGGGGGGAGTGGGGGTGGTAGAGGTCGCAAATGGGGTTTGATTTCCTACCCGTACCCGGCCGCACAAGGGTCGCAAATGGGTACCCGTACCCGAGTAGGTACCCGTACCCGAGTAGGGTACGGGTACCCGTTCCCTACCCGTACCCTACCAGAAATGAGTGACAAATGGTTACTCACCAGTGACTCACGGCCTACCCGTACCCGGCCGCACCAGGGTCGCAAACGGCTACGGGTAGGGTACGGGTATCGGGTACCCGGTTGCGACCTCTGGGGGGTGGCAATTGGAGGGCAGAAGAGTGGCTCCACAATTTCAATCCTTTTGCCTTGGGGTCCATGCCAACCAGGCCACACGCCTCTGTGGTGGCAAGCACGTGGCTCGGGGTGGTGGGGCTTTATAATGGCCCTGTCGGAGCACTGAGCCGGCACGGCTAAGATATTTGGATATTCGATTACGGGTTTAAAAGCCGCCAGTGATTTCAACCGGTTTCTCAAGTTGATAGCCTCTGCCCGGATACCGATGATTACACACGCAACAACAAAACAACTCAATTTAGTTGCTTATTTACCTCAACTTATTCCAGCTCTGTTAATTTTATATGAACAAGGAATGCGCGTATGGGTAGTTGGAGGAATTTCAGAACTAGTTCTGTGAAGTCATCTCCCAGGGCTCGAGATGACTGTGTTTTTTTGCGAGCCTATGCTTCTCTTGATCTCTGGAAGTCTGTAAGTCCCTGTGTGGGTCTACGAGGACTTTGTGAGTCTGTGGGTCTATGTGTTAGCCTATTGGGTGTGTCAATGGATGAGTCTGTGGACCACGAAACGAGTCCATGGGTCTTGATGCGAGTCACCGGTGGCTGGGTTGAGGCCATCATCTCGCGACAAATTAGAACGTGGTATCTTCTCAGGTGGACAAATCCTGGGTTCAAACCCAGGTTCTCAGCACTCTGACCTGTGAGCCACGTGGTCTCCTCTACTCCACCTGCGTTTTAAACTTCACTCACGACAAAAAAAGACTTAAAATTGCATTTCAGGAACGCCACCCGTAACATGATAGCGACATCGCTGTATTGACGTACGGGTCACGAGTGCTATCGAGGTGTACCTGCTGGTGCGCTGGTAACTTTAGCGACTTTCTTAATGTTAACTAGCAGCCCACACATTACGTGGATGTGACCCTCCCTCCCTCCCTGCTGACGTGACGTCCTGCCAGCCAGCAGGCAGCCAGCAAAAACGTTCTAACATGTTGTTAATGAAGTCATGGGTCCCAGAGCTCGGTGGTACTGGCTCGGCGCTCTGACCTCTGACCCACCAGGCCACAGCCAAATAAATATTTCCATTGCAACGTATTTTATTTTATAATGATGTATGCTTGTCCTCTGCCTTCGAAACCGGTTGTTTTCTATTCGCTTCGCCATTGGGACTTCTCTTCATGTGCTGTTGCTCTTGCCACGTTGACGACCCAGTTCTCTCCTGCAAATGTCTTGTCCTTCCCCGCACCTCCGATTAGCACAGTTGACTACGTATGTACGTACAAATGATGACTCTGTCCTGGTCTCCCGAGTTCCCCACCTCGTTAAACACAATGAACGTGGAAGTTGGACCGCGATCGCGTGCTCACGGCGCCCGTGTGCTTGTTGCAGGAGCAGCACGGACCCCGTGACTGCCCAGGGCCTGTGGTCGCTGAGCGCCGGCTGCCCGGATGTCGTCTCCCTGCAGGTGGCACCCGGCTACCCATGGTGAAGAGAGACCAGGCACACGGGGGAATACCGCACCACACACGCACCGCACGCTCAAACACACACCGCACGCTCAAACACACACCGCACACTCAAACACACACCGCACACTCAAACACACACCGCACACTCAAACACACACCGCACACTCAAACACACACCGCACACTCAAACACACACCGCACACTCAAACACACACCGCACACTCAAACACACACCACACGCTCAAACACACACCGCACGCTCAAACACACACCGCACACTCAAACACACACCACACGCTCAAACACACACCGCACACTCAAACACACACCGCACACTCAAACACACACCGCACACTCAAACACACACCGCACACTCAAACACACACCGCACACTCAAACACACACCGCACACTCAGACACACACCGCACACTCAAACACACACCGCACACTCAAACACACATCACACACTCAAACACACACCGCACTCTCAAACACACACCGCACATTCAAACACACCCCGCACACTCAAACACACACCGCACACTCAAACACACACCGCACACTCAGACACACACCGCACACTCAAACACACACCGCACACTCAAACACACACCGCACACTCAAACACACACCGCACACTCAAATACACACCGCACACTCAAACACACACCGCACACTCAGACACACACCGCACACTCAAACACACACCGCACACTCAAACACACACCACACACTCAAACACACACCGCACACTCAAACACACACCGCACACTCAGACACACACCGCACACTCAAACACACACCACACACTCAAACACACACCGCACACTCAAACACACACCGCACCCTCAAACACACACCGCACACTCAAACACACACCGCACACTCAGACACACACCACACACTCAAACACACACCGCACACTCAAACACACACCGCACACTCAGACACACACCGCACACTCAAACACTCACCGCGCACTCAAACACGCACTGCACACTCAAACACACACCGCACACTCAAACACACACCGCACACTCAAACACACACCACACACTCAAACACACACCGCACACTCAAACACACACCGCACACTCAAACACACACCACACACTCAAACACACAACCGCGCACTCAAAACACACACTGCACACTCAAACACACACCGCACACTCAAACACACACCGCACACTCAAACACACACCGCACACTCAAACACGCACCGCACACTCAAACACACACCACACACTCAAACACACACCGCACACTCAAACACGCACCGCACACTCAAACACACACCGCACACTCAAACACACACCGCACACTCAAACACACACCGCACACTCAAACCACACACCGCACCTCAACACGCACCGCACACTCAAACACACACCCCACACTCAAACACACACCGCACACTCAAACACACACCGCACACTCAAACACGCACCGCACACTCAAACACACACCACACACTCAATCACACACCGCACACTCAAACACGCACCGCACACTCAAACACACACCGCACACTCAAACACACACCACACACTCAAACACACACCGCACACTCAAACACACACCACACACTCAAACACACACCGCACACTCAAACACACACCGCACACTCAAACACACACCACACACTCAAACACACACCACACACTCAAACACACACCGCACACTCAAACACACACCGCACACTCAAACACACACCGCACACTCAAACACACACCGCACGCTCAAACACACACCGCACACTCAAACACACACCGCACACTCAAACACACACCACACACTCAAACACACACCACACACTCAAACACACACCACACACTCAAACGCACACCGCACACTCAAACACACACCGCACACTCAAACACACACCACACACTCAAACACACACCGCACACTCAAACACACACCGCACACTCAAACACACACCGCACACTCAAACACACACTGCGCACTCAAACACACACCGCACGCTCAAACACACACCACACACTCAAACACACACCGCACACTCAAACACACACCGCACACTCAAACACACACCGCACACTCAAACACACACCACACACTCAAACACACACCGCACACTCAAACACACACCGCACACTCAAACACACACCACACACTCAAACACACACCACACACTCAAACACACACCGCACACTCAAACACACACCGCACACTCAAACACACACCGCACACTCAAACACACACCACACACTCAAACACACACCGCACACTCAAACACACACCGCACACTCAAACACACACCGCACACTCAAACACACACCGCACACTCAAACACACACCGCGCACTCAAACACACACCGCACGCTCAAACACACACCGCACACTCAAACACACACCGCACACTCAAACACACACCGCGCACTCAAACACACACCGCACACTCAAACACACACCACACACTCAAACACACACCGCACGCTCAAACACACACCGCACACTCAAACACACACCGCACACACAAACATACACCGCATACTCAAACACACACCGCACACTCAACACACACCGCACACTCAAACACACACCGCACACTCAAACACACACCGCACACTCAAACACACACCGCACACTCAAACACACACCGCACACTCAACATACACCGCACACTCAAACACACACCGCACACTCAAACATACACCGCGCACTCAAACACACACCGCGCACTCAAACACACACCACACACTCAAACACACACCGCACACTCAAACACAACACCAGCACACTCAAACACACACCGCACACTCAAACACACACCGCACACTCAAACACACACCACACACTCAAACACACACCGCACACTCAAACACACACCGCACACTCAAACACACACCGCACACTCAAACACACACCGCACACTCAAACACACACCGCACACTCAAACACACACGCACACTCAACACACCGCACTCAAACACACACCGCACACTCAAACACACACCACACACTCAAACACACACCGCACACTCAAACACACACCACACACTCAAACACACACCACACACTCAAACACACACCACACACTCAAACACACACCGCACACTCAAACACACACCGCACACTCAAACACACACCGCACACTCAAACACACACCGCACACTCAAACACACACCGCACACTCAACACACACCGCACGCTCAAACACACACCAGCACACTCAAACACACACCGCACACTCAAACACACACCGCACACTCAAACACACACCGCACACTCAAACACACACCGCACACTCAAACACACACCGCACACTCAAACACACACCGCACACTCAAACACACACCGCACACTCAAACACACACCCACACTCAAACACACACCGCACACTCAAACACACACCGCACACTCAAACACACACCGCACACTCAACACACACCACACACTCAAACACACACCGCACACTCAAACACACACCGCACACTCAAACACACACCGCACACTCAAACACACACCACACACTCAAACACACACCGCACACTCAAACACACACCGCACACTCAACACACACCGCACACTCAAACACACACCGCACACTCAAACACACACCGCGCACTCAAACACACACCGCACGCTCAAACACACACCGCACACTCAAACACACACCGCACACTCAACACACACCGCACACTCAAACACACACCGCACACTCAAACACACACCACACACTCAAACACACACCGCACGCTCAAACACACACCGCACACTCAAACACACACCGCACACACAAACATACACCGCACACTCAAACACACACCGCACACTCAAACACACACCGCACACTCAAACACACACCGCACACTCAAACACACACCGCACACTCAAACACACACCGCACACTCAAACACACACCGCACACTCAAACATACACCGCACACTCAAACACACACCGCACACTCAAACATACACCGCGCACTCAAACACACACCGCGCACTCAAACACACACCACACACTCAAACACACACCGCACACTCAAACACACACCGCACATTCAAACACACACCGCACCACACATGTGCACCGCACACTCACACACTGCACGCTCAAACACACACTGCACCAGGCACGTGCACACACAACCCTTGTAAACACACACCACCGGCACGTACACGCAATTCACACCCCTATGCCACACACACGCTCGATAAACACGCTCAAATGTACCGCGCACGCACGCACGAGACGAGGCACACGCCGTGCACGGCACACGCTCACGGCCCACGCTCACGGCACACGCTCACGGCCCACGCTCTCCCCGGCTGCTCTGCACGTGTCAGCGCCCAGGAGGAGCTTTTCGACAACGGCTGCCTGCAGATGATCGGTCGCTGCTGGCCCAACCTGCGGGCGCTGGGGGTCGGAGGTCGCGGCTGTGACATCCAGGGCCTGGCTGCTCTCGGTGAGCACTCAAGAGCGAGCTGGGCTCTCGTTGCGTCGCTTGATTTAAAAAATATATATATCTTGTATTCCTATATTGTATCGGGCGCGACGATTGCGTGGTCTGACGTGGCAACAGCACCGCGATTGAGATGATCGTGATTGGGAAGAATGCGTCGCGAAAAAGACGACGTTGGATTTGGGAGTTCAGACGAAGTGGCAGCCGCTGACGTTTGCCGTGGCCGCTGGGATCGTAGCTGGCGTGTGTAAAGATCCAGGCGCTCCACCACCACCACTCATCACACAAACACGCAAAGACAAAGATCCCCCCCGTTTATCCTTAAAACAGACTGTTGGGGCAAGTACTGGTGGGTGACCAACACTATGCCCGGCCGCCTTTGTCTCCCTCATGCTGATGTTTACACGCTGCGCTGGGTACTCATTTGAGGCTGAGTCGACCCTGGGGAGATCGAAAACCGGTTCAAATATTCGCCACTGTTATTGGTTGTGAGCGGGAATCAAACTGGGATCGATGGGTTGGTAGCGGTGTCTTAACCACTTTTCTACCGCTCTTTCACACACAGCATATACACTTACACACACAAAGATCGCCTGTTTAGACTTCGCAGACTGTATAACAAGAGCTGTTAGCGAGCACCTATGAAGGGCGGCACGGCACACGACGGGGTGGCCAGCACCACGCCCGGCCTCCTTTGTCTCCCTAGTGCTGATGGTCACACACCGTACCAGGTATTAATTTGAGGCTGAGTCGAGCTAGTGGAAGCCCATGACCGGTTCAGATAATTATCACCGGTGGTGACCGTGAGCGAGATTCGAACTTGGGTCGCTAGGTTCGTAGCGCTGCACACACTCATTCACACACACACATGTATACACACCTATTCACAACAACAACAACCGCCATTCGCCACTAAGTGGTGGTGACGTCACCACGACGCTTGTGCCAGGCGAAGTGCACCTTGAGGCCACGTGAAGTGTCGAACGCCCGTTGGCAGGAGGTCACGGGGCAGACCCAGGTGCCACGGGTCGACTGACCTGAGATGACCGAGATGACTGGCTGATGCATCACCTGTGCCCCCTACTGTGCCAACTTGCTGTGCTTTAGCCACCCGGCGCTCCGCTCGTTGTTATGAGCGTCGCTCCTCCGCCCTCCGTTGTTGCTGGAGGGCGACTGCCTCCAACTGCCCAGTAGCGTCCTTCACGAGCCTCCTCCACAGAGGCCGATATTGACACCGCTGGTACCTAGTCATCGGCAAGTCCACTCAGCTCCACGTCCTCCTGTACCACATCACTCCATCTCTTCTCTAGCCCGTGCCGCGCCCGTTTAGCCCCGTCGATCCGGCTGAACAAAAGCTGTTTAGGCATGCGGTGGCTGGGCATGTGGGTTACATGACCCAGCCAACGCAGCCGATGGAACTTTGCCCAGATCTTTCAAGGATTTGTGGGCTCCTCACACAATCCAGCCTGGTTAAACCCAGGAGGGATCGTAGGCAGGACAGCCTAAATGTTTCTAACCGGCGAAGATGCTCCATTAGGGGGGTCCACGTTTCGCAAGCATAGAGAAGGGAGGGAATGACTGTGGCCGAAAAGACCTGAAGCTTCGTGCGGAGCGACAGACCAGGTAGCTTCCACACATCGTTACGCAACCGATGAAAATATATTGCCGCTCGACTGATTCGGTGTGAGACCTCTGCTGTCAAACTGGAGCCGGTTATAAGCACACTGCCCAGGTATGGGAAACTCTCCACAACTGCCCCATCACCGATTGGGAGTTGTATAGGTGGAGTGTCCGATGGTATAAAATACCCAGGCAGGTGCTTAGTTTTGGTGGAGCTGATGGTAAGGCCCCACCCCTTAGTGGTACGCTCCAGTTTCAGCAGCAGCGTCTCCAATTCCTCCTCTGAATGAGCAGCTATTACCAAATCATTGGCATACATAACGTGGTTGACCAATAGGGAGCCATCCCTTGATCGCACCTGGGCATCGATCAGCCTCCCATTATATCTGTACCAAATGGAAATTCCCTCGGTACAGCTATTGAAGGCTTCACGAACTACGTGGTCAAAATAGATGTTAAATAATGTGGGAGCCAGAGGACATCCCTGTCGCACCCCAAGGTGTACAGGGAATGGCTCTGACTCCCGGCCACGTAGTTTTACCCGGGCCCGCTCACCATCATGAAGGTCCTTAATGATCGTGAGCAGAGGGTCAGGGACTCCGAAAGCACGAAGAACAACCCAGAGTGCAGGCCTATGCACACACACACACCCACATGCATGTGCACATCACATCACATACAAGGTATGCACGCACGCACACACACACCTCGTTCATCCCTCGCTCTCCCCAACCCTCATCGCCCCCCTCAACTCGTCGTCTCTGCCCCCCCTCCACCCCCCACCCCCCACCCTCTCCACCCCCACCACCCCCACCCTTCCACCCCCTCCACCTTCACCACCCTCCACCCCCCCCACCCCCCGCATCCCCACCCCCCCACCCCCCCACTCCCCCTACCCCCCCACTCCCCCCCCCCACACCCCCTCCACCCCCCGCACCCCCTCCACCTCCTCCACCCCCCTCCACTCCCCCCACCCCCTCCACCCCCCCACCCCTCCACTCCCCCCACCCCCTCCACCCCCCTCCACTCCCCCCACCCCTCCCACCCCTCCACCCCCCGCACCCCTCTACCCCCTCCACCCCTCCACCCCCCGCACCCCCTCCACCCCCCCCCACCCCCTTCACCCCCCCCACTCCCACCCCCCACCCCCCCCCACCCACCCCCCACCCCCCCACCCAGTGCGTAGCTGCGGCGAGCTGCGGGGGCTGGAGCTGGACCGCGTGCTGGAGCTGAGCCAGGAGGGAGCGGCGGCGCTGTGCGAGCCGCCCGGCCTGCGCCGCCTCGAGGTGCTGGCGCTCGTCTTCACGCCCGTGACGCCGCGCGCACTCCTGCACTTCTCCGGTACCCACGCCGTTCCTACCCCCCCCCCCCGCTCCCTGATCCATGATCCCATCCCCAATACCGACACGGTTTCCTACCCGACTGCCACTCCACTATTCTCCTAATATGAGAATAGGTTTTCCCCCTTTTTTCTGGCAACAAAACAGGTGTTAAGATGTTAAAACACCAAACTGAAACCTTTTTGCAAGGAATCATGTCTGCATTAACCACAATACTTGTGGTCAGAATGCAAAAAACATACTCTGATAATAAATGCATTGTCTTTGAAACTGATTGGTCCACACCAGAGACAGCTTTCTTTTGAGCTTCGTCTCAAGACGGTGTTAGACCAGAGGACGCCAAAAGGCGTACTAATGATCCCCCTCCCTGATCCCTGATCCCCTCCCCAATCCCCGTTGCATGATTCGCGATCCACGATTCCTGATCCCCACTGCAGTGATCCATGATTGCTGATCTCTGATCCATGATGCACGTTCCCCTCCCACCCGGCACCGTGACAACCCTCACCAAAACCGACAGGATCCCTGACCCACGATCCCCGCCCCAGTAATCGAGATTATGTTTGGAAATGTTCATCACGAGCAAAATGCCAATATGTGACACTTGTAATAATGAACATACGTACGTTGAACCTTCCGTGCGTAGCCAACCATGCTGATCGGAGGTGTGGGGGATGGACAACAAACTAAGCACAAAAAACACCTCTAAAGAAATTATTTTTAAATCTTTATTTAATAAAGTGCATAACTCCAGCGGCTTCCTAATATCGCAAGGAAGAGCGTTCCAGACGGCCGCAGAAGCACATCTGAAAGGAGCGAAGGCAACAGAACAAACGAGGGAGAAAAAGAAAGAAACGGTTCAAATGAGACAAAACAATCAACTTTGAAATCCACTTGGGACCCTGAATCATGGCAATCTGTCCCGTCTCAGGGTCGGATGAATCATTGAGAGCCAGAGTATTAATGAGCTGTAGATCATCGCCAGGGCATAATTTCTGGCTGACAATTTTTCCGGATCGTATCTCTGAGTGTGTGCGGTGTGTGTCTGAGTGTGCGGTGTGTGTCTGAGTGTGCGGTGTGTGTTTGAGTGTGCGGTGTGTGTTTGAGTGTGCGGTGTGTGTTTGAGTGTGCGGTGTGTGTCTGAGTGTGCGGTGTGTGTTTGAAGTGTGCGGTGTGTGTTTGAATGTGCGGTGTGTGTTTGAGTGTGCGGTGCATGTGCGGTGTGGTTGCACGTGGCTAAGTAGCAGAGGTCCACGGCCACCGTGAGCGGTTACGCTTGATGCGGCTTGCTGGATGTGGAGGTATATTCCGTGGGGTCGTCATCGACCTCCGGACGGACCTGGCCGGGAAAGAAACCGGGCGCTGGTCACCACCAGAGGCCGTGATGGGCAGAGCTGCCCGTTTGCACCCCCCCCCCCCCACACACACACGCCGCTCTCTCCCACACAGAGTGCTGCCCTTCGCTCAAGTCGGTGCTGGTTCACGTCGGGATATCCGACTACTTCACCGACGCCGACGACCCGGAGAGCCAGAGGCTCTACAGGGAGCTCATGGACAAGCTGCAGGTGGCGCCCGCTACACAACCCCAGCACACGCAGTGGCCACCACGGCAACACACGCCAGCCGGGGCTCTCCGTGATTGCCGCTTCCGTGGGCTGTTCCCCGAGAGATCTCATCGGTTCCTTGGTCCCGTGACGCCACGTCCCGTAGCGCAATCGGTATAAAATGAGGGGGAATTGACAAAATAACAGTTGAGTTAAAATCCCAAACCAGGTTGCGGGCTGAGATAGGAACCACGTGGGCCGGTGCGGAGCCGCGTGAGGCTCGGGGACGAGCAGCAGCGGCGGCAGCCGTAGGAAACAATAAATCAGCGCAACAAAGTGGGGGCTGCGCCTCGCTACGATCGCACGAGCGGGGCCAACAACGACGGGCAACGAGAGGCGCTTCACAAACCCGACGACGCCGAACGTGACAAAGCGCGAGTGCGAACCTGGACGGGGGGGGGGGCGGGGGGCGGAGGCACGGGGAGCGTCACTCGGAAAGAAAGGGGGGGAGCGACAGCCGCTAAGGGGAGGCGAGATGGAATACGCCGGTCGTCGCAGTCTGTTTAATCTCAATCCGTCACCCGCGCGCCCCGATGGGTGGTGGCTCGCCGGGGGAAGGCTCGTTGCGTTAGCGAGACCACGTCGAGCAGGGATCCCCCGCAACCCCCACTGCCCCACCCCCCCCCCGCCTCGCCGCCCCTCCCCTCCCAGCACGAGGGGGCAGGCGCGAAGACGGACGAAGCGTAATTGCTCAGAGATCAAGCGGGGACATGACAGCCGGCACAAAACATTTGCTGTTCAGGGAAATTGAACGGTCGTTTTTTTGCGGCAGCTCCCTCGCCAGCGGTCCCGCCCGCTTTGTTGTGAGCGCCGCCTTTTATTCCAGCGGTTTTTTTTTTTGTCGCTGTTAGCTGTTAGGGTCGTTTTTTTTAGCGTTTGAAGATTTTTTTCGATTTCTACCATCGTAATAATAAGGCCGATTTTCTAGCACGCTAACATGAAACCTACGCCTGTCAAGTAGGTGCACTGTTATAGGAACGGAGTTATTTTTTTGAGTCGTGTGTTTTGCACCGTCATTTAATCATAATTCGTATCAGTTATTTTATTTTGTTTAACACGTAGGCTTTCACAATTCTGGCTCATCGCCTGATGAAGCTGGTTGTAATCACCAGCTAAACGTCGTCCTCGAATTTTAAATGTTGTGAGTTTACTCTCCAACACACAACCGGTGTGCTGAAGTAGTAACTAATTGACACGTTTTGTTGATGTGACAAACCTTACTAATTGGCTGTGTCAGATGGTTGGCGGGTTTAACGACACATTTATATTCACGCGATCTCACCCAACAAACAGAAAAACCTTTATCGTGGATTCTTTTATTTTGTCATGATTTTTTGTTTTGTGTGTGACCACGATTCTGTTGTGTTTGAACTGCACAGGCACTGAAGAAAAGGCCAGAACTGGCCAACGTGTTGCACATCAAGGCGGACTATGGCTGAGGGCGTTGAGGAAGCACGGAACACAATTCCTACGGGGGGGTGAAGGGAGGAATTCATCAATCGCGAGAGAAGAACCACGACGTCCATCTCGCAAAATGCGAATTCGTTTAAAATAAAAACCGTCGCGGCCAACTCGCCAACGTTGAACCAACGTTGGCATGTGGTTGCAACCTTTGGGCTAACGTTGGGTCAACGTTGGCGCGTGGTTGCAACCTTTGGGCTAATGTTGGGTCAACGTTGGCGCGTGGTTGGAACATTTGGATGAACGTTGGATCAACGTTGGCCCAACGTATGATACGAGCCTGCCGATTGGTGGTGTGTGTGTTAACCCGTGCCGTGCATGTTACCGTGTCAACGGGCGTCGCACAAAATCAAAGGTGCTTTGTAGTCTCGTTACCTTGATGCGTCATTACCCAGGAGCCTTTGCTCTTCCTGCAACCATGGCAACTGTTACCATCTCAAACATGGCATCCAAGCAAATTCCACGTACGAATGTTATTAATATTGTTATTATTATATTTACAGTATTATTATTGCTCCAGTATTTAGTTTGTTCCGAAGCAGAAAACGAACGTTCACACATTGTGCCTCAGATGTTTTGCAAAATGCCAAAATAGTGTTCATTCTTTAAAATTAGGTGTGAGTTTTGTTTGTAATTTATGTGTGTGTGTGTGTTGTAATTCGGAGTGGTCAGAAAGTTTTGAGAAAACTAGATATCGTTTTGTACTTTCATCGATAGATGTAGTGGCAGCTTGGCGAGGAGGCCTTCACTCAGCGGCCAATTGACCAGCAAGAAGGGCCTGGGTTCGATCCCCGTCTCGGGGACCTTCATGTGGTAAAGTTTGCGTATCGTGTCCCTCTTCTGCATGGGTTGCCTTCGTGTTCACCCGTTTCTTTTCACAGCAAACACAAAAAAAATAACGACAATGCAGAACATTCAAGTGCTGGAAAATGTACACTGCAAATGACTCAATTGGGATTCCGCACAGCAGCAACATCGCCCCCTACTGTGGAAACTTGGCAACATCAACCCCTACTCCCGAGACGCATTCAGACTTTCAAGGGTAAACAAGGATAATGATGATAGCCGCAGATTTTAGTTTTGCTTAATCGTGGTACAGCTGATGCTGTTTTAAATATACAGATCAAATCAAACATTAAATAATCCTGACTTATTTTGAATTTGGGGTGAATCGATGCGCATCGTTTAAAATTGGTTCTTAAGGTCAGGATGCACGCGTCGAATCGCGTGTGTTGTTGACGCTGCGAGTGATATGTTCATGCCCAACCCGTTAACCACCAGAGGCGCTCCTACTCACTACAGGAGCTACTACTATTTTCGTGTTGCATTTTATAGTTTTCTATCAAAATAGGACGCATATCTAACAGAGAGAGAGTCCTTGCATATTAACGTCGCCACTGGGAGTGGTTCGAGCAAGCCTGATTCTGCTTTTGAGACGGTGTATGTCACAATCAGACGACTGTGTGTCTGATGGGATGTGTAAAAACTTGTATTTATTTGGTGAAGGGATGGATATGCGAAGGAGGCTATAGTCTGCCCGTTCATTGGTCGACATCGAGCTATGTTAAGTAGCTACATAGAATCGTAAACAACTAAATCTGGACTAACCTTAACACATGAATTTGGTAAACCACTGGAATACGCCGTAATGAATCGTCCTGCCAATAATGCCACCGTCTCATCCTCAAAACGAATGACCTCCCTTGTATATGTAACTCATGATTTATGTATATGCATTGTACATATATACATAGAGACGTATTTCCGTATTGAATGTAAAAGAAACGCATCCAGTGTTTTACTCCATCGCACACTCAAGCACTTTACATCGCAGTGTCTGCAGTGGTCGTGGCTTACGTGGCGTGCAAAGAAATGTTTTTAAAATATATATATATTAAATAGTATGTGCTCAAAGGGGAATGCAACCAACGCACACACTCACTGGCGCACTTACAACACAGGGTGCTCCAACGAAAACATAAACTCTTGCGAAAAATTGGGACTCGGCATTTTGTTGTGCCGTTCGAGAGCGCCAACCGCTGTACCCGTGTGCCCGCGGTCACACTCCGGACGACCGCGGACACACGCTGCTCGGGTTCCCCCCAGGATCACACCCCTTGCCGAGGTGGCACCCAAGTCAGCACGCCGAACCTTGTGCGTGCGGTTTGTGAACCGTTGGGTCCCCTTAGCCAGCCGCTGCCAGCGGGAGCTGGCGGGAGGGTAGGGAAGAAGCGATGGCAGCGAGGGGTTGGTGGTGGCCGTGGTGGTGGTGGTGGCATCAACGGCTACGGCCATGAAAACATCTAGGTCAGGGGTCGGCAGCCGCGTGCGGCTCTGTAAGGACTGCTTCGTGATAGTTATTAGGGACCCATCGACTCGTATTCACGTGCATCGGCGGCTCCTGAAATATTGCGTTGTTTTACCGAATTCGAAAAAAACGGCTCTTCTTTGTTATGTTGTTTGCTGACCCCCCGATCTCGATGTCATAATCAATACGTCAACAGCCAAGAGTTGCCCAGTAAACATGGAACGTTGGGCCAACGTCGGTATGTGGTTGTAACCGGTGGCCCAACGTCGAGCCAACGTTACACGTTTACAGGGCGGTTTCAATGCTCACAAATGTCATTAAAACCACATTTTTGTCCATCAGCAGGGAAACTTTGGGAAGGTTTTTTTTTACTTTTTGGGTCTCATCAGCCGTTGAACAATTACTGCTGGGTTGCCTGGTGTTGCAGGGGAGAGGACTCCAGGAAGACTGTGTAAACATTGTTCCAGAAAGCCACGAGGCTGATGGATTACATTGTTTTTTGTTTGTTTGGGCTTACGGTGAAACTGAGCAAATAATCGAACAGTTGGGTCAATATATCTGCCCTATCTCTGCTCTTAAGAAGGGCCAGTGTCTGAAACGTCAGGCTACTATATATATGTTTCTATGATAAGGCAGTGTTAATGAAGAATGTGGTGAGTTCTGAGTCTCACCTGGCTACTACATGAAATATGCACCAACAATTGAAAAACATTCAAATAAATCATGCACAATTTTACCCATACATTTATACACAGTCGGATGTAATGGAATATATAACACGCTGTCGTGGTGGATTATGGTAAACAAATGTATTATAATAATACTGTGAGAAATATGAAATGGGAGTCTTCAGCACTTAAAAAATAAACTACCGTTTAGTCCATGAACCGATGGGCCTTCTGAAACAGTGCATCCACAATACTTGCATGCATATGATGGCTCTTGCCTATAAGATTTGAACTCTTAATGAAAGTAAAGGAAAATCACAGTTACTTAAAAAAAAGAAAAACCCTTTACAACTGCTAAAAAGCATAATCCCATTCGGCAGACAGCCTGAACATGCATATTCGAGCAGCAGTCGTTCATGCCGACTCAAATTCACTGCTAATATAATTCACCGTGGAGATGAAATCAGTTCGTGCGCAGTTGACGGAATGATTGATAACATCGCAGGGACGCAAGTAATGGCACCGGCTTTGGGAGGCCTTCATTCAGCAGCAGATTTATTACGGGCAAAGATGATCCTGTAATAATGATTCAAGATGTGTGTACGAAACTTTGAATTGTCTCTAAACCGCCTGAATCTTTAGATATGTTTTGGAGTGTGAGAACCCAGCGGCGTTTGTTGCTCATGGCCCCACTGCGCTGATGATACTCGCGAGAGAAGTGTGATCTGCGTTGTTGTTTTTGCTGCGGCTTGGCCAAGTCAGGGTTCCACCGGCTCTATCTCAAGCGAGGAGCGGACGTGTGCTCTCGCGCTGTGGTTGCTGCGTTTCGTGGCTTGTCCGGCTTCGTTAGCAAGCTTTGTCTCTTTGCGCCGTGCTCATGAAAGTGCCAAAAAGTGTCTTAGTGTGCAATCGCCGCTTGAGATTGGTTAATTTCTGCATATTAAACTTGCCATCGCTCGCAACGACTCTCTCTCTCCCTACCCGAGACACAAAACTACTGCTTACACAGCCTCTTGCGGTTGTACTGCTGTGGTGGCTATACGATGCGCGGTTGGGTTGTACCAGCGGGTTGGCAATAACAAGCAGAGCCATTGTTTTTTTCGAATTCGGTATAATACCGCAATATTTAAAGAGCCGCAGTGCACGTGAACACGAGAACGGTGGTTCCTTGATAAGTCACGAAGCGGTCCTTAAAAGAGCCGCATGTCGACCTCTGGGTTGTGCCGTCCGTCGTTCGGCAAGATGTCCGACGTTTCGTTTCAGGTCCACACGCTGCCAGCCCACCATCATCTTCCGACGTGGAATGGTAAAAAGAATGACGATCACTTCATAGGAAGGCTGCTCAACAAACCAGCCGTGATGTGTTTTTGGGTGGTGTGTTGTTCTGCACGATGTCCGACGTTTCGTGTCAGTTCCAAATGTCAACGTTTTCTTAACATAAAATAGATAACAGCACAATTGGAATTATTTCAAATTCTGGTAAGGGATTGATTCGGTCCATCATCCCTTCGGGGTAAATAAAACAAGTACCATTTTGTGCAAAAGTCAACTGGTTGTCGTATGGATATACTTACTCCTGTCATAGGAATGTGGAATTTCCATCACTGGTTGAGGGTTATAAACGAAAGATGAGCACCGCCTCAATACTCGTTCAGCAGGACATCACTTCGACTCGTTTTTAAAACGACATGCTGCAAAATAATGGGGATCGGAATGGGCATGATCTCGTCGGATATCAGAAGCTAAGCAGACTTGAGCCTGCCTCGTGCTCGGATTGGATAAAAAGCATGGTCATAGGCTGCTGCTGCGAGGCTATGTTGTGGGCAATTCACTACAATCCACAGTTGTACCGTACTCCTATGCTCTATCGTCCTATGCGCTCCCTCTCCTCTTTCACCAACGCATATTACCAGCGTGGTGAATTATGGTCACCCTCTCGCCACGGGTTCGTGACACCCTCATCGAACAGTGGATTGACACACATACACAAAATAACAATAACAAAACAACCACGAACAATCTGCCCCCGTCTCACAACATCGCCGAAGGCTACGATGGGAGTCCCTAAACAGCATTCACGATCCACCGTGCGTCGCTCAAATATCCTCACCCATGCCCCCCCTCTCTCTCTCTCTGTATCCATCTCCCTCATCAAAGAGATGCGGGCAGGAAGCGCCCACGTCGCGACCACGCTCTTCAAACGTCCCACGTGCATTCACTGACTGTCTCCCCCAGATACTGATGAGCCAACGTCTTAAAAAAAAAAAGACAAGACAACCCATCAAGGTGAACAGGCATCTCACCAAATCAACCACCCGTGTCCCACCCAGCTCCTCTATCGAACCACATGCACCCCCTCCTCTTCCACCGTCCTCTCAGCATCTCCCCATGTCCCTCTGTCCATTCACAAATTGATGCCCCCCCCCCTCAATCCCCCCCCCCCCCCCACTTCGTTGTGAGGAGGCGGACACGCTGTCGGATATTGGCGCAACAATTTCGTTTCAGAAGTTCTTGTCTCGGCTTGTCCGATCACCTCGGCGCACAAAACGCAGGCGAGTGGATCATTAACCGAGGGGGACCCGCGGCACCATCAGAGGGGCCCACCGTTTAGGAAGTTGGCCACTGCGCGCCCCGTAAAACATTAACCGGGATCGTGGCCCAGTGGCGGGCAATTCCCCCCTTGCGTGGCCCAGACAAAGGGGGGCTCCTGTCAGCGCTGGTGGATGGAGTGGGTCTCACTCCGTCTGGCTTGATGGATCCATTACAAGTACTGTACATCTCACGGAGAGGGTCCTTGCCTTATCAGCATCTGGCAGGCCACCGGCATTGCACAGGTTTAGTGGCGAGCGTGACTTGCGCTGCTGCTGCTGACGACGACGACGAGAGAGACACCCGCTTGCCGAAACCGTCCCGGAGTTAGTTTGCTTGCGCTGAAGCAATGCTGCTGAAAAGCGACGCACTCGCAGAAGGCCGTGAGGCCGATGGGATTGTGTAAAAATAACTTAGTTTTTTTAATGTGGAGAGGCGAAGTACATGAAGGGGTCGTGTTGTCTTCTTGTTTGTTTTCTTTACGGGTGCCGGAGGGCGTTCGCTGTTGCCCTCTGTAGCTCTCCGGTGCGTTCACGGGGTGTACCTGGATTCAACAGAATTGAGTTCAGTTCTCGAAGAGGCCCCCAAGACGCGGAGCGAAACGTCGGACACCATGCCGAAAGACACGCGGTAACTCTGAAGATACATCGGGGATCTGTGATAGGTTCATTGTTTGGCCTTACAGCCCGCGGGCTTCAAATCACAATTGTTACCAATGTACTTACTAAATTGCCTGTTCTTTGATGTGAACCTTTTATATCCTGTATAGGAGAGAGGTGGCGCAGTGGTTAGCGTTAATTATGAAACTGGAGACCTGAGTTAGATCCCCGGTCACGGCTAACATCAGTGGCGATATCTGAACTAGTCTTGCAGGCCTCCCTTCAGCCTGCACAGACCAGCGTGGTGAAGTATGGTCAAACAGGCCTCATCACCAACACGGCGTGTGAGGGAGGCCTTCATCCAGCAGTGGAATGACACAAGATATGAAAATAATTCAACAACTATTTACGTGTTCGTCTTTCGAGTAATTTTGTTTTTCATTCGTTTTTTTCTGTTTTAACAAACAGATGTATTATTACCCTGTTCAATTATGGATGAACAGGTCCTCACCATGTGAATATGGAATTTCCACCACTGGTGGTAAGCGTCTTAAAAGCTGCCCGCTAACAGGTGGCAACCAGAGCAGGGACTGGTCCCACCCAAGGTAGCCAATCTTTAGTGGTTCCGACTCATTTACACGGCCAATACGAGCGGATCATTTGATATCCTCCGCTTATTTCAAATGGGTGATCACATGATCCGCTGGTATTGGCCACATAGAGAAATCGCAACCGATAAAGTTATACAAAGACAAAGATCCCACGTGCCCTGTAACAGACTGTTGGGGCAAGTGCTGTTAGCGAGCACCCACGAAGGCTGCAAGGGAAACACGATGATGTTTTTACACACCGAAACCATGTACTCATTCAAGGCTGAGTCGACCTAGGGCAGGCCCACGGCTGGTTCAGATTATAATCGTCACTGACTGGTGTGTTGGTCTTTGGCTTTGAACGGGAACACACACACACACAAAGACAAAGATCCCCCCGTATAGCTTTAACAGACTGTTGGGGCAAGTGCTGTCAGCGAGCAGCACCTGTGAAGGCCGACACGGCACACGAGGTGGCCAGCAACCACGCCCAATAAGTCTGCCGCACACACATTCACGGACGAGGTGCGAAACACCAGGTTTACTCATTTGAGGCTGAGTCGACCTAGCGGAGGTCCAGGATCGGTTCAGACGAATCGTCACCGGTGTTGGCCGTGAGCAGGAATGGAACTCGGATCGAACAGCGCGCTAAGCGCTACACCACCACTCCCCAACACAAAGACAAAGATCCCCCAGTATCGCCTTAGCAGACTGTTGGGGCAAGTGCTGTGAGCGAGCAGCACCTGTGAAGGCCGACACGGCACACGAGGTGGCCAGCAACCACGCCCAATAAGTCTGCCGCGATGTTTACACACTGCACCAGGTACTTATTTTAGGCTGAGTCGACCTAGGGGAGGTACAGGACCGGTTCAAATACACACACGCGCACACGCAGTGCAAGTACTTGAATACGAACGCAAATTGTTGCCAAACTCGCTCGCTCGCACACCGCCGGGGTTTATGATGATGATGATGAAGGTGGTGATGGTGGTGATGGTGGTGATGATGGTGGTGATGATGGTGATGGTGGTGATGATGGTGATGGTGGTGATGATGATTGATGATGTTGATGGGTGATGATGGTGATGGTGGTGATGATGATGATGTTGACGATTGATGTGTGATGATGATGATGTTGATGCTGATGTGGTGATGGTGGTGATGATGGTGATGGTGGTGATGATGGTGAGGATGATGGTGGTGATGGTGGTGATGATGGTGATGATGATGATGTTGATGATGTTGATGGTGGTGATGATGGTGATGCCCCCACCATCTAGCCGTCATTTCGCCACGCGGAACACGCGGAAGAGCTTTTAGAATCACTCCATCTCACGGAGCCGGCACGCTCCGTCACTTAGTAGCCGCCGCGCCGCTGCTGCTGTTTATTGTTATTATTACTACTACCCCTACTGATGTTCATGCTCTTGCTGCTGCTGCTCTTAAAATGTTTGCTGCTGCTGCTGCTCTTAATGATGTTTGCTGCTGCTGCGGCCGCTCACGAGGATGCTTCTGCTGCCGTTGCTGCAGCCAGCGGGTCAGGTCGCTCACGGACAACACCACCCAGTGACGATTACCTGGACCGGATCTTGGGCCTCCCTTAGGTCGACTCAGCCTCAAATGAGTACCTGGTGCGGTGTCTAAACATCGCTAATTGGGGAGACAAAGGCGGCCGGGCGTGTGCCGTGCTCGCTAACAGCATTTGCCCCAAAAGGCTATTAAGGCTATACGGGTGATCTTTGGTCACTACTGCTGATGAGGATACTACTATTGTTTCTGCTACTATTAATGGTGTTGCTACAAATGCTGTTGGTCTTGCTGCATTTGCTGCTGATTCCGCTAATGCTGTTGCTACTACTGTTGCTGGGTGCTGCTGCTATTATTAATGCTGTTGCCACTGCGGATGAGACTTCTGCTGCTGTTGCTGCTATTAATGCTGTCTCCGTTGCTGCTGTTACTGCTGATACCATTGCTGATGCTGCTTCCGTCAATGCTGTAGCCATTACTGTCGTTGATACTGCTCATGCTTTTATTATATATCTAGACCGTGCTGGCCTGAATAGGTGTTCACTCGCATCAGTACTGTTGCTCGTCTTTAAAGTATCTCTCTGGTTCTCCAGATACTGTGACTCTATGGGTTTCTATGGGTTTACTGTGTGGTCCAGAGTTCGTGTCACATGGCCAGAAGCGCAGTGCGGTACAGCACTGTGGCTTGTTCTTCATTTTCCATCGGTGACGGAATGTTCTGATGATGAGGTTGATGGTTCGACCAGCGTCTTCCAGGAGCAACGTCAAAGCCAGGGGTTGCGATGTTTGGGTCTCGAATAAGGCCTTGATTACTACAACCAACCTGCACTTGTTCAGTCTAAACTAAACAATGTTTTATTTGACAAGGTACGGCCCACCGAGCTACAAAGGAGCGACCTGGCCACAAATGGTATAGCTCGACGATGTGGCTTATCGCGTGGAAATTATAGCAGCCAAATACGCGGCTAAACGCATGTTTATAAACGTGAAGGGAAAAACCGGAGCATCCGGAGAAAGGTCCGCACGACCATGGGGAGAACGTGCACCCTGCAAATATACAGCAGCAGGCGTCAGGGTCGGGATCGAAACCACGACCTCCTGTATACCAGGCGAGGGAGTTAACATTTCGCCCCCCCCAATAGCATGCGTGACGAGTGTT